CCTACCATTAAAATTATAGACTGATCATTTCTTTGTCAGTGGGCAAACGTACAAAATCAGCAGGAGATCAAATCCTTTTTTCCCTCACTGTACATTTCCACGCAACAAGCCACTTCGTTGAGCTATAATTTGCGGCCAGGTCGCTTCTGAAAAGAATCTATAAAGGTCAGTGGGTCTTACCTGGTAAAATAGAAATGTTTAGTGTTGTTTCTAAGAGGAGTTGTTTCTAAGAGGAGTTTGGCAAAGAGGCGCGGCTCACCCCCTCCTCACGGAGCAGTCCGCCCGACCCCCACGAGCGCCATGTCGCTGCTGCGTGACTCCGTACTGCTCCTGGACTGCGCAACGGGAATATCGATCCTTCTAGCATCGGGAATATCGATCCTTCTAGCAACGGGAATATCGATCCTTCCAGCAACGAGAATATCGATCCTTCCAGCAACGAGAATATCGATCCTTCCAGCAACGAGAATATCGATCCTTCCAGCAACGAGAATATCGATCCTTCTAGCAGGCACTCTCGGTAGGGCGCTAAACGCTGGAGTTTCAAAAACATGGTCTATGTTAAAGTATTCATCATATTCAATTTTTTTAAGTAAAATGTTTTTACTTAATCCAGGTCTGTTTGTTGCTGTTCATATGTAATGTTCCCGATATATACTACAGGCGCTGGAATAATACGACAGGAGGGAGGTTCACCATAACCAAGCACCATAACCGTGTCTATTTCATGGCTCGAACTTTAATTTGGCTGCGATGGGGTTTCCCGTCGTCACAGATTCGAATGACATAAACTGTTCAATATGCATATGCCACGTCCTCTTCCCTTACTGCCAAGTAGCTTACCCGACACTTCTATGAGTGGCATCTGTAGCCAAGTCCCCTGCGTTCAAAGGCCACCCGCTTCTATCCCGAGTGCTTTGTTAAACCCGGCTCTCTGACCTGTACGGTCAGTCATCACTCCTGCCTGTTAACACCACCCGATGGGCGACAAACGATGGCACAGTTGCCATTTCTGCACCCCCGCTCTGATCACACTGCTACTCATTCTCACCATGCCATCACGATATTTACATAAACCTGCAATTGTAAAACATGACTGGGTAACTCAAAGTGAACCACAGTTCATAAAGCTGACGGCGAAGATGTTTATTTGAATATTAACAGCGGTCCCAGCCACTGTTCACGTGCTCCGTGCACGCATTAACCCTGCAAGGGGAACTTCTTCTCAGCGGGGCATCACAGTGAATGTTAAACAGTCGAGAATTTTTTTTTAAACGCTAAACAGAGAATGAGTCGATATGCCATCGGCCTTCGTCTACGATGCGTTCCTTGAACTTAGAAGAAAAATCTACACCGGTCTAAAATATTATACCAACATTCTATTGTACTTGACTATAAGAATTTATAGTGGGAATTGGTTGATGGGAGGGGGGCAGTCCCCTCCCCCCCAACCACGCTGGGGGGCCGCGCGGTCCACGCGCCCCTCTCGCTCGCCACGTGACCCCCTCTCGTGCCACGTGACCCCCTCTCGTGCCACGTGACCCCCTCTCGTGTCACGCGCGACACGGGCAGCCCCATTCCCGTGACTTCGACGCTTTGGTTTTGAGAGGCGTTACTTTTGGTGTGGGACGCGAGAAGGGAATAGATTTCGCGCCGTTTTTGACGAACCACACACCTGAGATTGATTCCTGACCATGGCTAATGTCAGTGATGTCTGAGTCGCGTCTGGTAATGCCGTGGGAGGGAGGGAGGCTGGCTGATCAGCAGGTGTGAGTGTGCGTGTTACCTGGAGTGGGGAGCGGTGGCACAGCGGTTAGCGCGTTGTACTGCGAACCTGGCCACACGAGTTCGAGTCCCGGTCATGGTTAACACCAGTGACGATAATCTGAGCCGGTATTGGGCATCCCCTATATTGAATCAGCCTCAAATGAATACCTGGTGCGATGTGTAAACATCGCCACTCGGGAGACAAAGGCGGCCGAGCGTGGTGCAGGTCACCCACCCCCTCGTGTGCCCTGCCGGCCTTCTTAGGTGATCCTCGCTAACAACACTTGCCCCTACAGTCTGTTAAGGATATACGGGGGATTTTTTCCCTTGTCTTTTGTAATCCGGAGTCGTCTGTTGTACCGGTTCGTGACCGGATAGAGCTCGTGAATGTTGGGGGCACTGCTGGTCGCCTTCCTACAGAGCACGATCCGCTCGCTATTCTTGATTTGTCCATGGCGAAGGTAGACCACACACACTTTGATGTTGAGATGCGACAAAACGAAAATCACACATCTCAAAACAACGTCGATAAAACACATTCGTCAATCAGTTAATATTTATGTAGACTTTTATGGAGTCAAATGGGTGATGTAAAAGATCACAGAGTTCCTAGAATATTTTGAGATTGTTCGTTTTAACTCCAGCAACGTGGCACGACGGCTGTGTCGTTTGAATCAAGCCACACACACACGGGATGTGTCACACACACACGTGATGTGTCACACACACACACGTGATGTGTCACACACACACGTGATGTGTCACACACACACACACACGTGATGTGTCACACACACACGTGATGTGTCACACACACACGTGATGTGTCACACACACACGTGATGTGTCACACACACACACGTGATGTGTCACACACACACACGGGATGTGTCACATACACGTGATGGTGTCACACACACACGGGATGTGTCACACACACACGGGATGTGTCACACACACACACGTGATGTGTCACACACACACGTGATGTGTCACACACACACGTGATGTGTCACACACACACGTGATGTGTCACACACACACACGTGATGTGTCACACACACGTGATGTGTTACACACACACGTGATGTGTCACACACACACGTGATGTGTCACACACACACGTGATGTGTCACACACACACACGTGATGTGTCACACACACACACGGGATGTGTCACACACACGTGATGTGTCACACACACACACGTGATGTGTCACACACACACGTGATGTGTCACACACACACGGGATGTGTCACACACACACACGTGATGTGTCACACACACACACACACGTGATGTGTCACACACACACGTGATGTGTCACACACACACACGTGATGTGTCACACACACACGTGATGTGTCACACACACACGAGATGGTGTCACACACACACACGTGATGTGTCACACACACACAAGTGATGTGTCACACACACGGGATGGTGTCACACACACACGGGATGGTGAACAAGTATGGTGTCAACTACCGCCACGGCCGACACGGCGTGGGGGCCTTCATCCAGCAGTGAAGTGACACAGGAATATCCATAGTTATTTATTTTAAAGTGCGCAGGGCACCATACGCTGGCTGTCTGTACGGTCCCGTGTTTAACTGTTCACGTGTAGAGAAGGACGTTTGACGCGATCCACTCATGCACGATGAGCGCGCGTGTCTGTGTCCATGTAGGTGCTCGCTAACAGCACTTGCTCCAACAGTCCGTTCAGGCTATATGGGAGTACAGTATAAACACCCTGGCTGGAGCGGTAGCGTCACGGTTAGCGCTACGCTGCGCTACGAACTCGGCCATCCGAGTTCGATTCCCGCTCGCGGCCAACACCGGTGGCCGTTATCTGAACCGCTCCCGGGCCTCCCGTAGGTCGACTCAGCCTCAACTGAGTACCTGGTGCGGTGTGTAAATATTTGCCCCTTGGGAGACAAAGGCGGCCGGGCGTAGTGCTGGCCACCCACCCCCTCGTGTGCCCTGCTGGCCTTCATATAGGTGCTCGCTAACAGCACTTGCCACAGCAGGCTGTAAAGACTATACGGGGAATCTGTGTCTGTTTTGTATAAGCACCGCGCGTAGCGCTCGCCACTGCTGCTACTGGGGCACAGCTGCAGCGGTGAGCTTCTCATTTCCTCTCGCAGCGGCTTCCCCCAAGCTCGCACGACGCGTGTCGCCACAGCGAGTGCAGCTGAACACCTCGCCCCGTGGCCCTCCTCGGCCTTCCCCTCGCCCCGCGGCGCCTCCCCTGCGGCCCTCTCGTGACCCCGACGCGCGCCCTCTGTCACGGTCACTGACTGCTCGGCCCTTGCACTGTGCCCTCACCATCTGCATCACTCTGTTTTGGTTACAGCTGTTGAAACTTTGTAAAGCTCATGGAGCTAAGGCGCTCTCTAAAACTATATATTATAATATATAACCTCTATATGTATTATATATAAATGACTCTACACAGTAAGAGAGACTGGCGGCCCGAGTGGTGTTGCGAGGACGGCAAGGAGTGAGGAACGCTTCTTGGAGCTCCGTTCACATCTCCCCGATCGGTAGGAGAGATCAATCGAAACGTCTCCTCGCTCACACCTTGGACACTCGGAGCCAGAGGTGGATTTTCCACATTCCCATGACGGGGTCCGCTCTGGGCTTCCCACAACTCATTCATTGTATCGACTATGCAAGAAGGATGGTGCCTGAAGTCGAACCCGGAGTCGGGTGTGAACCTGTAACCCTTCCGGTTACGAGCCAAGCGCTCTGTCCGCACGGCGGCACCCGGCTAGATCTGATGCAGTGTACACACAATACACGCGCGCGACTACAGCCATTCTCGATCTACTGTTCCATGAACCATGGCCGTAGCTTCAGCCGTAAATCCCATTTCACCACGAATTCCCAACACAGTAAGTGCTCCTGCTTCACTCTGTAAGCTCGCGGGTCATTGGTCAACTATTGAGCTTAACATTCACAGTGAACTCGCAGTTGTCACCGTGAAGTTCAAAGCTGGGCCACTGCCAGCAGGCTCAGGAAGCGTCGACCGCGCGCCAGGTGCGTGGCCGCGGTGCCGCCTCGGAGCCGGCGCGCTCGCTGCGCGCACCACGCCAAGCAATATACGAGCGCCGAGGCGGGCGGTGGGCTCACGTTACACGAGTGGGCAGGGTCAGGCGTCCGGCTCAATCGGATTGCCCTGTCGCATGGATCGGGAGGCGGGGCTCCACATATAAATTGTATTGCAAAGTAGAGTCCTGGGGTTAAAATATTACGTTAGGGGCCCGGTGCAGTGAATAAGGGTGCGTGTTCTCTTTGATGCTGGCACGGTTATCCGCAAAAAATTCTTCCCCGCAAGTGCGTGTCTAATATTTAGACATGCTCTGCTTTGTGGATACCCGGATATGGCTGCTGCTAGCGGCGTTACAAGCGATACACCTCGTCAGCGGACGGGAGGAGAACCGTAAGTGTCATCGCCTCACTCCGATGTTGTCACTCGCTCGGTCACGCGCCCGGGCCCGTCGATGCACGCGGTACCTCGGACAGCACCCGACGCCGGGCGCCACAGGTAGGCTGGGCCTGCAGGTCGAGTAGGGGGCGTGGGGGGGCAGTCGCACGCCGAGGGGAACGATGCCGCACGTGGTCTCTAGCCGCCCTCTGCGCTCCATCCGCGGTGCCATTTCATGCGACTCCGCTACCTCGCGCTCTCTCTCACGCGCGATTAGAATCGCCTCTCACTGGGTTTACAATCACAAGCAGTTGGCTAAGCTGACCGTTTTCCAAAACGGAATAGCTTATTTGGTATACGGTGCTATTGACCGTGGTTGGATGGAATCGGTCAAGTGTGCCGCATGTCAACTTAAACGCTCATTCATTGCGTCCTTAATGCATTAATTCGATCAAATATAACGGGCGCGTACGATGCTCTTCCTCTTCGCGGTTACGACGCGTGATGTGCAAGGACGTATTCTGTAGGTGTTTACCCCTACGACCGAGTTGATAAAACACATCAACAACAATCAAAAACCCTCGAGCGAGAATACTGTGCTCCATCGCGACTGGCAGCGCACGGGGGTCTCCTTCGTGTGCGGCAAGCGTCGTGTCGGGAGCAGAGCGCGACCTGCGAGGCACGTGCTCGATGCGAGTGGTGCGGGCACTCGAATCGCTCTGGACACAAACTCAGCGTCTCGATGAGCAGCAGGACGCGTGCCCACAGGACACTTCAGTGGCTTGTGGGCACGCACGCTACCCGACGATTGAAGTCATCGCGTCGGCGTGACTTTGGGACATTCGACACTCGTTACTGCTGCATTTTATTGGCCATATGTTTAAATAACGGTTTAGATCTTTACATCCTGCTCGTTATCATACACAATCAAATCTGTGGTTCAACCACCAGAGACAATCGTTTATAGCACTCTCTCGTTAAAAACGTGAACAACAAAGCACCCTATGACTGCTGCGGCAGCAGCAGGACACAAGGCGCGGGAGGACGGTGAGGCCAGCGGGGTATAGACCGAGCAGGTGGATCTCAGCTGGACACAGCGTGCACACAGCGTGCGCACAGCGTGGGCATAGCGTGTGCGCACAGCGTGTGCACACCGCGTGCACACAGCGTGGGCACACCGCGGCAAGGGAGCTGCTAGAGTTGATTCTCACAACTTATACGTTGAGACGTTTAGATGAACCAACTTAGGAAAATCTATTTCAGCTGTAATTCAACCCAGTGACCATTAATGAGCTCTGTTTCCTAGCTGGAGCTGATTAGTGAGCCATGTGAAGCGCTGTGCTCCGCTATCGCCAAGCCTGCGGTCTCAGTGTGCGGGTCTGTTGCGCAGTTGCTAATGGGAGCCATTGCGCCTGAAGGTATCCTCTATGTTTGTATGTTGGACTTATTTCGCACCATATGTAGGCAACCGTGCGTTTGCGTGAGCGCCACAGTATATATACACACACACATACAACCACAGTACAGCAACTGTTAGAGAATATTTAACTGATTCACTCCAATGAGCTGTTTTCCAACAGCTTCAACTGCTCATCATATTTATTTTACGCGTGCAAATAAGCGCGGCTGCAATGACGATTCAAACTAAACACAGTTAAAAAAACAACAACCTGGTACCTTAACAAATCACTTTGCAAGATGCTATTTGGCCTCTTAATGTGGAATTCGGTAGAGGTTTGCGATGCAGCCCTCCTCACTTGTGACATCACAGCCTGCGCTCACCCACGAGGGGAGTGAACCCACATGCCCTTAGAGGCGAGCTTGCTATCCCTACATTGTCTTAGTAAAGCAATCACGTTGCATCGCGGCCTCTTAAATATAATTTATAATTCGATTTTGAAATCAGGTATCTTAAATAATGTCGCAACTTGTAAGCTAATGTAATCATAATCGTCACTAAATCGATAATTGTAATTACATCATGTTGTCATGTACCCTTGTGAATGGGAAATAGTTAATTCGGGCGATTATGATTAGTCGTTTGTTATTGCTTTCTGTGGGATTTCCTAAACTCCAGTTTGATCCCCCTGCACACGTGGCCACCACTGTGAGTCGTGTGAAGGGAAGTGATGGTTGTCCAACGGGCCGTCCAGCAGAGACTCCTCTCGGGGCAATGCCGTGAGCAGCGGTGCAGCCGCCTGCAGCCTCAACTGTGGACCCACTCCGTGTTGTGGGGCAATCAGTTTCTGGCCTCTGTAAAGAGGCTGGCCTCGATGTAAACGTCACAATGGCAGGTCCACAGAGTGATCGCCTCGCCGTCGAGTTGCTGGGTCAAACTAAAACACGAAACGATATTTATGGATTATCGTGCAGGCAAAAGATTAATTTCATTGGGGTTTGTTTTATGTTAAATCACTGGTTGCCCATCTTAAATGTACTGTGCATGTCCGAGAGGCTGATACGGAAGGCAATTATAATTGTCATTGTATATTTATGACATTTTTAAAATAAGGATGAATTACTTTCACTTTAATTTTAGTCTGAATACATTTGTCTTGTATAATGTTATCTTTTGACTTTTCCTGTTATACACAATGTGTTGTTTGCCCCGAAATGTCGAATCCTACTCCCTTCGCCTCTCTCGTATGCCTCGTCTTTACCGCACGTCCATCCTGTAAAATATACTTTTTTGTAGCAGATGGCGTTTATTTTGAAAGATGAAGGCTACGATTTATATAAAAAAGAATAAACTTTATTTTTCGATTTAAAGCTTTTGTGACTGCAATGATTCATCTTCTTTGGTTCTTTCGGTAAAGTCACGTAGAATGAGAATAAAATAATAAATTGATAAAATAAAATAACACAATAATATTCTCACGACGTTTCGGCCACAACACAAGCGGCCTTCATCAGGTGAAGGGGCGAGACTGTCTGGTAGGACAGCGCTGGAGTGAAAGCTGCGCTGTCCTACCAGACAGTCTCGCCCCTTCACCTGATGAAGGCCGCTTGTGTTGTGGCCGAAACGTCGTGAGGATATTATTGTGTTATTTTATTTTAGCAATTTATTATTTTATTCTCATTCTACGTGACTTTACCGAAAGAACCAAAGAAAATAAACTTGATCTCTCCCTATCATGATATATGCGACTTATAAATTCGCGATATCAGTTTATACAAAATTCTGTAGGCCAAAAGGACACAGAGTGGCTATTGCTCCAACGAAGTGGTACTTCAGATGCATTAACCAGAATATTAAAACATTGTGATGTGAACATTATTAACATTGTGATGTGAACATTATTAACATTGTGATGTGAACATTGTGATGTGAACATTATTAACATTGTGATGTGAACATTTTGATGTGAACATTGACAGAGATTACAACCTCAAAGTTCATTTGAATTTCTTGTGCAACGCTATAACAGGGCAGGACACTTATTTATCTATCAGGGATGATTCATATTTGACGGACTGTAACTCATACGAGTGTGGTCTGCAGTAGTTATGATTTTTTTTATATTTCTCTACGAGTAGAGATGCATCTTGAGTGTTATTATTTATTCGTCTATGTTCACCTCGATGGCTCTCCAGCTAAGTCTACCATGGTAATATTCATCTCAAGTTAAACCTATCAAATCCTTCACGGAACTATCAAAACGTTACTAGTACAATAAAACCCGTATTTTAATCAATGTATTCTTGACCTGGGGGTTAAATTAAATAAATACAAATGTTTCCTTAATTGTAAACAATTAAAACAATTAAGTTTCACGTGGACTGGCATGAAAGCGCCTGCCATTCGCTGCCACGTGTGAGGCGTGGGTGGCGAAGAGCGAGAGGTAGAAACTTGAGCCGCGGCGCCCGTGCACCCATTCACACGATCGGACACACACGACGGCAGACATATCGATGAGTTCACCTATTTATGTATAAATAGACATCCACACACACACAATAGCAGGGCCCTGAAAGCGATGCTTCTCATGTTGCAGTGGGAGCTTTCGAGACTCGCTCGCTATTCTACAGTCAGGCATATTCTGTGAGGAGGAACTCTCCTTGTCAGCTTGTCCGACGGCCTTGCTCTGATTTTCACTTCTGGAGTGTGACCTTGCACACCGGGCTAAGTCCAACATTGCTCCCGTCATCCACTGCGATCAACAGCAATTACTCGCGAGAGAGAGTGAGAAAGCTCTTCAGAGATATTGGACCATTGCTTTGAAGATGCGATTCCACGGATGTAGCATCGTGTCCATGCGCACGTATTTTAGGCAGACTGAAAGAAAGACTGCAGTTTATTGAAACGTTGTTGAACAGATTTGAACCACAATTACAACTCGATTATTCGAGTCGGATTATACTTCCCCGCGTGGCGTTTTCTCACTGTAGGCTTGGGAATTGTACCCCCCAACATTCTCATTACACGCATTGTCATTTTTGACATTGGGAGTTATCTCGTACAATGGTTTCAGCTCGTACAAAAGACAAAATCGCAGACGTGCGGTGATGCCGCTCGTGGTTGAACACAATGTAACTCTCGTCTTGTTTGTGTTGTCCACGTGTCTCCCTCTGCCCGCCACACAGACGTAAGTAGCGTGCGCGCTGCTGTGCTGGGAGCGTTGCTGTCCGTGGTGCTGAACGAGGAGCGGGGCGCTGCGGGCAGGCCGAGTGGCCACAGCGAGACACGCGGCTGGCCGTGCCAGCAGCACGCATGGGGCTGCTGGCACTGCAGCCTGAACGTGGACGCGGTGTAGATTCGCATTGCGAATGTGCGGTAGCCACTCCACGCACATTTACTCCGCTGCTCACAGTGGGACGCACCGCCACGCCGGGCGGTGGTGGCCACGTGCGTGGGATTCTCAGGGTGCTCCGGTTTCCTCTCAAACTTAAATGCTCATTATATTGGCCGACAACACCTTAATACATAGAAGACCGCAAAGCTTGGCCAATTGCTGGCACCGGCTCAGCGCGTGGTTGCCTTCCCGCTCGTCTGTGGTTCCTCCTCGCGCCTGAGTCGTTTTCTTTCCACGACAGTGAGCGAATCCGGTGTAACGAGTTGCAAGTTGAGATTAAAAGCAACGAGTATACGCAGCATTTCAATCTAGTTGTTATTATGTGTCAATGCATCAGCTTGCCTATACATTGCGCATGTCAATTGATGTCCTGTTTAATTGAGATCATTATTTTAGTATAAAATTCCAATCACTGCATATGTGACTGTATGAATGGTGAACTGTAATTATAACAGGATGACATCATCATTAGACCTCTTTTGCCAGTACCAAAATGTAATAATAGGGTTTTTCCCCTTTTTTTCTGGCAACAAAACTGAAACCTTTTTTTTTACAAGGATTCATGTCTGCATTAACCACAATACAAGGATTCATGCAGACATGAATCCTTGTAAAAAAAGGTTTCAGTTTTGTTGCCAGAAAAAGGGGAAAACCCCTATTATTACAGGATGACATCAAGTAATGTTTAAATATATAGCGTCATACAACGTCTGTAGGTGCACGTTAAACAAAATGCTTTCTGCAATGTTTTATCAGCTTTATTTACCGATATTACACCTTCAATAAATATCGTACTCTCCTTTTGAATGCGTAAAATAATGCGTGAAAATAGAAAATCACTGAATAACAACTGCCAAACGTTTTGGGAAATTGGTTTGTAATCATAAGATTGGTCAATACAGCATCACGATCTACTTAATGAGAAGTGCTCGTGCAAAGCAAACTCACTCAGACGTAATCGCAGGCTACAGTGCAAAGTGAATAGCACAACACAACACTCTACCACGCTCCACAACACTCCACCACACTCTACCACGCTCCACCACACTCCATCACGCTCCACAACACTCCACGACACTCCACCACACTCCACAGCACTCCACCACACTCCACCACACTCCAGCACACTCCACAATGCCGTGTGAGCGGCGTGGAGGCGGCGCGCATGGGGCGACGCGTGAGCGGTGTCGTGTGCATTGCTGTGTGTGTCTGGCAGGAGAGTACAGATGACAGTCAGCTCACTCATACCATGGGCGAGGTGAGAGTCCGCCACCTACACACGCACGCGCACACGTGACGTACAAATGACACGCAACCTGCAGCACGTGTCTTACAGGATAGATATATGCACAGACAACATGCGGCAATACAGCACACAGCATGCAACAGTACAGGACGTGCAGCACACGCCAAAGGGAGTCAGGGTACAGAAGGCAGCGCGCTGCGTGCGCGCGTCGCGGGCGTGGCGCGGGTGGCTCGCTCCCTCGGCGTGTCTGGCTGGAAAGTTACATTTAGAAACGTGCTTGACATGACACCGACTTGTGATTGTGGGCTTCTCACGACAACCCAGCACGCTCCTCGTGCACCCACCACACGTGTTTCTGATGCGAAGTAATTGCATGAATGGCGCTATATAAAATGACATTATTATAATCTTAGTGACATCTTCATTAGTCCCTTACTCGTTCCCATTTCACTTCATTTCCCACGACTCCCTACGCGTGTAACCTTCAATCTCGAAGTGGGCGCATTTCCGTCCTTCATCTAATCTCCACGCCACGGGGTGGCGGATCCTCCTCATGCTGCACCCAGCGACTGCAGCAGCAGCAGCGGCGGCAGGGTTATTCCTCACCGCCAGCCAGTGTGCCCTCGTCTGGTGGGTCGTGCTTGGTCATGAACAGACGCGAAAGGTCAAAGTGCCCATTTAACCAACTTGTCCGATTCCCTGCAAACGACTCAAACAAGAGGACGTCAGTGACCTTACCCGTTGCTGAAACAGACGGAGACCCTCGCGAGTGTGGAGCACGGTCCAGGCTGGGCCAGGTCGCCCTGACGAACGCTGGCGACTCTTTGTCTCCACAGAGGTTCGCTGCCCAGTACAAGGCTCCCGTAGGACCGTCTCCTCCCGGCGCCCCGGTGAGCAATGCCGCCAGCACTATAAATATGAGTTGGACGCCACACACCGGTGCGCTGTCGCATGGTATTGTCAACAAATGGTCACGTGGAATCGATATTTACCCCGGATGAAATGCTTCCTAGGCAATGCCTGGTTGCCAGATTGCCAAGTTAACTTTAACCTATCCGATATAAAGAGAGCTGATTCCATGTTAAATACCCTGTGACATTACAAATGTCGAATAATACGTAAGCCAAAGCTTTATTTCACGGGGATTGCACGTGCATATCTTTGTTGAGTATGACAAATGAGTAAAAATAAGTTATCTTACAACAACATCGTGAATGAAATTATTTAATGTGAATGTTGTTTTGTGTTTGCGTGTGTATATCTGTATGTATTTATGGGGAGCGGTGACGCAGTGGTTAGCGCGCTGCGCTACGAACCCAGCGACCCGAGTTCGATTTCCGCTCATGGCCAACACCACCAGTGACGATTATCTGCACTGGTCCTGGGCTTTCCCTAGGTCGACTCAGTCTCAAATGAGCACCTGGTGTGGTGTATAGTAAACATCACCACGAGGGAGATAAAGGCGGCCGGGCGTGGTGCTAGCCATCTACCCCTCGTGTACCGTGCCGTCCTTCGTAGCGACTTGTTAAAAGCACTTGCGCCAAAAGTCTTTTAAGGCTATAGTGGGGATCTTTATCTTTGTAGATGTGGGTAGATGTAGCCGACGTGGCGGGACTTCACTTCTATCATGACAGCCACGGTTTGAATTCTGCCCATGACGCCCACTGGAGGCTATGGTTGTCTAAATCAGGCTTGGGCCCCCTGCAAGTCAATCTGTCCGCTATGGTCAATGTCAGCTGGGTGCCGGCCGTGTGTAACTGTGTGTAACTCTGTGTAACTGTGTGTAACCGTGTATAACTGTGTAACCTTGTGTAACTGTGTGTAACCGTGTGTAACTGTGTGTGACTGTGTGTAACTGTGTGTAACTGTGTGTAACCGTGTATAACTGTGTAACCGTGTGTAACTGTGTGTAACTGTGTGTAACCGTGCATAACTGTGTAACCGTGTGTAACTGTGTGTAACTTTGTGTAACTGTGTGTAACCGTGTATAACTGTGTAACTGTGTAACCGTGTGTAACTGTGTGTAACCGTGTGTAACTGTGTGTGACTGTGTGTAACTGTGTGACTGTGTGTAACTGTGTGTAACTGTGTGCCCTTGTGACCGCAGGGACCCATGGGACCACGCGGACCACCAGGACCGGCCGGTGGCTCCGTGAGTACACGCAGCTCCCTGCATCGCACACGCAGCCCCCTGCATCGTACACGCAGCTCCCTGCATCGTACACGCAGCTCCCTGCATCGTACACGCAGCTCCCTGCATCGTACACGCAGCTCCCTGCAACGCGCTCACAAGAAACGGCCCAGCCACCATCGCGTTTGTCAGCGAAGAGTGAACGACGCAGAACGGATTTTATAATTTGTATTCGCCAGTTTCAGCAATGTTCCACAAAGACATTACAACCGGGATACTTTACTGATCCACATCCTTCTCACGAAACATCCGCAAAGCACGGGCCCCTTGGGTGAATGTGCTCTGAACGCGCTCACTATCCACTGTGACGTTACTGGCATGAACGATTGCCGTAACTGTGGAACAATACACAGGGGAGGTTCACTATGCTCAGCGCTCTGCATTTGCAGTGAACTTTTCTGGCGTGTGTCATGAGGTCACAGATCGCATGACACTTCAAACACTGAGATCGCGTTCGTTTTGGAGTTTGAGGTGCCCCTAATAGGCCGTCTCAATTAGCTGAGGGACAGAGTTTTAACTCGAAATCGGATTGTCATTGTAACCACGAGTTGACATCTCCTTGCATGTACAGGGAATAACAAACGTCATGGATCTCCTGCTTCTCGGGATTTCTGGCACTGAACAATACCTAGAGAGTTCAGATATCGAAACAATCCTGAGTGTTGTTGTGTAGAATACAAATAACAAAATAGATAAGCAGACAATATGTTAGTAGGGTGCTTGGGGAAGTTGCCTCTACATTTTCAGCTGCAGTCTTAGTTTTGTGGAATACAGTATACGGTTTAGCTTATTTGCATGAACTTTTATCGCCTACATACACTATACCATCGTTCGGTGTTCCGCCTCCCTCCGTCTCCCTTCGTCTGTCTCCTTCCCTCTGTCTCCCTCCCTCTGTCTCCCTCCCTCTGTCTCCCTTCGTCTATCTCCCTTCGTCTATCTCCCTTCCTCTATCTCCCTTCCTCTGTCTCCCTCCCTCTGTCTCCCTTCGTCTATCTCCCTTCGTCTATCTCCCTTCCTCTGTCTCCCTCCCTCTGTCTCCCTTCCTCTGTCTCCCTCCCTCTGTCTCCCTCCCTCTGTCTCCCTTCCTCTGTCTCCCTTCCTCTGTCTCCCTTCCTCTGTCTCCCTTCCTCTGTCTCCCTTCCTCTGTCTCCCTTTCTCTGTCTCCCTTCCTCTGTCTCCCTTCCTCTGTCTCCCTCCCTCTGTCTCCCTTCCTCTGTCTCCCTGCCTCTGTCTCCCTTTCTCTGTCTCCCTTTCTCTGTCTCCCTTCCTCTGTCTCCCTTCCTCTGTCTCCCTCCCTCTGTCTCTCTTCCTCTGTCTCCCTGCCTCTGTCTCCCTTTCTCTGTCTCCATTTCTCTGTCTCCCTTTCTATGTCTCCCTCCCTCTGTCTCCCTCCCTCTGTCTCCCTGCCTCTGTCTCCCTTTCTCTGTCTCCTTTTCTCTGTCTCCCTTTCTCTGTCTCCCTCTCTCTGTCTCCCTTCGTCTGTCTCCCTTCCTCTGTCTGCACGGCGTCCATCCCTCTCCAACATCGCCCAGCGTCGCCCATCTTTTTCTTCATCTCCGTCTTTCCCCACAAATATTTCCCCCGACCACCTCCTTCAACTCATACCCTTTCACTCCTGCTACCTGGTCATTCACCTCCTTCAACTCATTCCCTCTCACTCCCACCACCTGTCCAATCACCGCCTTCAACTCATTCCCTCTCACGCCCACCACCTGTCCAATCACCTCCTTCTACTCATTCCTTCTCACTCACACCACCGGGTCAATCACCTCCTTCAACTCATTCCCTCTCACTCCCACCACCTGTCCAATCACCGCCTTCAACTCATTCCCTTTCATTTTCACCACCGGCCCAATCACCTCCTTCAACTCATTCCCTCTCACTCCCACCACCTGTCCAATTACCTCCTTCAACTAATTCTCTCTCACTCCCACCACCTGGTCAATCACCTCCTTCAACTTATTCCATCTCACTCCCACCACCTGTCCAATCACCGCCATCAACTCATTTCCTCTCACTCCCACCACCTGTCCAATCACCTTTTTCAACTCATTCCCTCTCACTCCCACCACCTGTCCAATCACCTCCTTCAACTCATTCTCTCTAACTCCCACCACCTGGTCAATCACCTCCTTCAACTCATTCCCTCTCACTCCCACCACCTGTCCAATTACCTCCTTCAACTCATTCTCTCTCACTCCCACCACCTGGTCAATCACCTCCTTCAACTAATTTCCTCTCACTACTACCACCTGTCCAATCACGTCCTTCAACTCATTCCCTCACTCCCACCACCTGTCCAATCACCTTAAACTCATTCCCTCACTCCCACCACCTGTCCAATCACCTCCTTCAACTCATTCCCTCTCACTCCGAGTCACCAGCCCAATCCATCTTCTCTTCCTCCTCTCCCGAACTGATCCATGAGTCCTTCACATTCTTCTCCTGCCCGATGTATATTTGTCTTCCTTTACGCTGGACGTAATAGACGATGACGTCAGCACAGCTGTGAATTGGCGATGTGAATGCGTCGTCCTAAAGACACGGCTTGAGAAAGTCCAGCACCGCGTGGCAGGGCGACTGTGAGCCTCATGCCACCAGCGCCTGATGCGTCGAGCCCTCGGCGCATGTTCCGGAGTCTTCGTCGTCGGCTCGGCGTTCCCTGCTCGGCCACTGCTGAGGAAATCTGCCGTCTAAACATTACGGCTAAAATGCGACACACCCTCATTAGAAATGTGCTTTAGTTTGTTTATATTTATTTAGCAATTGAATTGGCTTAAACTCAACTGGTGCCAATGCGGCAGTTCGACTTTCAATTTTGGCTCCGGGCGAAACGCAGGAGGCCACTCCGCATGTTGACTTCCACAGCGCCCATTCGTTTGTCTTGAGAGGCTCCCACAACGCACTGCCTGGGTGACATCGGGTCCATCGGCTTGTCGCTTTGTGCATCGAGACGCGCGACCAAAAGCGAAATCTCTTTCAGATTTTCCGCGCGGATGGGGGAATCGATTTGGAAGTTTCACACAAGCTTCCACGTGCAGCTGCGCTGATGTGAGATCGTTAGACGTGTCCACGAGGGGAAGAGAGCGCGGTGTCTCTTCCACTCAAGATGTTACCGCCGCCGCCGCTGCTGCTGCCTCTTACTCAGCGTGATCCGTAGCACAGCGACGTGATGTCCCCACGACGTCGCGCAGGGCCACGCGGCACCCTCCCAGTTCGCGGCCTCCGCCTGCTGTCGCCCGCCGGAGAATGCACGGCCGTGATGTTCCTTTCCCTCGGTGTCCCGCAGGGTCCGCCAGGATACCCAGGCAGCCCCGGAGAGCCCGGCGAGAGCGGACCGAGTGTGAGTACGAGGCGACGCGCACGAGTGCCGGGTGTCTCGCCACCCCCGTGTCCTCCCGTGGCGCGATGTCGTCAGCGGCTGTGTCTGTCCCGTAGCCTCGCCATCGAAACCTCGGCAACATCAACAAGAGGGCACGAAACTAAATATATTGAACCATCAATCGCTCGCTAGCCACCCACAGTTCTTAAACTCAAATTACGTTAAAAGGTAATCAGTGCTGATATTCTTTCGAATTCCCACCGAATATCATGAGACGCGCGAGAATATAATTCATGGCGACGGGTGCCGATGAGAGTGAGAGTGGAGATGTTGCGGAGTGACTCGGTGCTAATGTCCCGTGGGGTGCAGGGCCCAGCCGGACCTCCTGGACCTGCAGGGCTCAGCGGCAAGAACGGAGAGGATGTACGTCAACATGGACACTCACACACACACCAGTACACACACACACCAGCACACTCACACACACACCAGTACACTCACACACACACACCAGTACACTCACACACACACCAGTACACTCACACACACACCAGTACACTCACACACCAGCACACTCACACACACACCAGCACACTCACACACACACCAGCACACTCACACACACACCAACACACTCACAAACACACCAGTACACTCACACACACACCAGTACACTCACACACACACCAGTACACTCACACACCAGCACACTCACACACACACCAGCACACTCACACACACACACACCAGCACACTCACTCACACACCAACACACTCACAAACACACCAGTACACTCACACACACACCAGTACACTCACAAACACACCAGTACACTCACACACACACCAGTACACTCACACACACACCAGCACACTCACACACACCAGCACACTCACACACACCAGCACACTCACTCACACACCAACACACTCACAAACACACCAGTACACTCACACACACACCAGTACACTCTCACACACACCAGTACACTCACACACACACCAGCACACTCACACATACACACCAGCACACACACACACCAGCACACTCACACACACACCAGTACACTCACACACACACCAGCACACTCACACACACACCTGTACACTCACACACACACCAGCACACTCACACACACACACCAGCACACTCACACACACACCAGCACACTCACACACACACCAGTACACACACACACACACCAACACACTCACACACACACCAGCACACTCACACATACACCAGCACACTAACATATAAACCAGAACCCACACATAAATATCAAATATCTCACATTCGCCATGAGACCAACATAGTCCCAACCACACCAGCACGCCCTCCAGGCCCGGACAAACCATGTGCTGGGTGGAGGTGGACGTCGCGTAAGGAGTGGCAGAGTGACGGGTTGGTGGGTGGGTGAGTGGGTGAATGATGGGTTGGTGGGTGGGTGGGTGAGTGGGTGAATGATGGGTTGGTGGGTGGGTGAATGATGGGTTGGTGGGTGGGTGAGTGGGTGAATGATGGGTTGGTGGGTGGGTGAGTGTCAGAGTGACGGGTTGGTGGGTGGGTGAGTGGGTGAATGATGGGTTGGTGGGTGGGTGAGTGGGTGAATGATGGGTTGGTGGGTGGGTGGTTGAGTGGCAGAGTGGCGGGTTGGTGGGTGGGTGAGTGGGTAAATGATGGTTTGGGGTGTGGGTGAATGATGGGTTGGTGGATGGGTGAGTGTCAGAGTGACGGGTTGGTGGGTGGGTGAGTGGGTGAATGATGGGTTGGTGGGTGGGTGGGTGAGTGGGTGAATGATGGGTTGGTGGGTGGGTAAATGATGGGTTGGTGGGTGGGTGAGTGTCAGAGTGACGGGTTGGTGGGTGGGTGAGTGTCAGAGTGACGGGTTGGTGGGTGAGTGGGTGAATTATGGGTTGGTGGGTGGGTGGGTGAGTGGGTGAATGATGGGTTGGTGTGTGGGTGGTTGAGTGGCAGAGTGACGGGTTGGTGGGTGGGTGGGTGAATGATGGGTTGGTGGGTGGGTGGTTGAGTGTCAGAGTGACGGGTTGTTACGATGCGCGTTCATCCTCTGCTGCAGGGTGAGCCAGGCAGGCCAGGACGGCCCGGAGATCGGGGACTCCCAGGTGCACAGGTGAGACCACCCACCCCGCCCCGAGACCCAAGCACCGCACGTATTGCTCCCTCACAAAAACGAGTTGGTGAACGTGGAAGTAGGAGATCGTTGAACTAATTTAAACAGCAAGAAGCACGGTCAATACTCTTTACCCTGACGTACTGTACGTCTACTGCGTGTTCAGTCCCTTGTCTGCGTGTGTGTGGTGTCTGTCTGTGTTCACTACAGTGTGTGTGTGTTGTTCACTACTGCGTGTGTGTGGTGTCTGTCTGTGTTCACTACTGTGTGTGTGTTGTCAATGGTGTGTGTGTGGTGTCTGTCTGTGTTCACTACTGTGTGTGTGTGTTGTTAATGGTGTGTGTGTGTGGTGTCTCTCTGTGTTCACTACAGTGTGTGTGTTGTCAACGGCGTGTGTGTGTGTGGTGTCTGTCTGTGTTCACTACTGTGTGTGTCTGTTGTTAATGGTGTGTGTGTGTGGTGTCTCTCTGTGTTCACTACTGTGTGTGTGTTGTCAATGGTGTGTGTGTGGTGTCTGTCTGTGTTCACTACAGTGTGTGTTGTTAATGGTGTGTGTGTGGAGTCTGTCTGTGTTCACTACTGTGTGTGTCTGTTGTTAATGGTGTGTGTGTGTGGTGTCTCTCTGTGTTCACTACAGTGTGTGTGTGTTGTTAATGGTGTGTGTGTGTGGTGTCTCTCTGTGTTGACTACTGTGTGTGTGTGTTGTCAATGGTGTGTGTGTGTGTGGTGTCTGTCTGTGTTCACTACTGTGTGTGTGTGTTGTTAATAGTGTGTGTGTGTGGTGTCTGTTCACTACTGTGTGTGTGTGGTGTTAATGGTGTGTGTGTGTGGTGTCTCTCTGTGTTCACTACAGTGTGTGTGTGTTGTTAATGGTGTGTGTGTGGTGTCTCTCTGTGTTGACTACTGTGTGTGTGTTGTCAATGGTGTGTGTGTGTGGTGTCTGTCTGTGTTCACTACTGTGTGTGTCTGTTGTTAATGGTGTGTGTGTGTGGTGTCTCTCTGTGTTCACTACTGTGTGTGTGTTGTCAATGGTGTGTGTGTGGTGTCTGTCTGTGTTCACTACAGTGTGTGTTGTTAATGGTGTGTGTGTGGAGTCTGTCTGTGTTCACTACTGTGTGTGTGTGTTGTTAATGGTGTGTGTGTAGTGTCTCTCTGTGTTCACTACTGTGTGTGTGTGTTGTTAATGGTGTGTGTGTATGGTGTCTGTCTGTGTTCACTACTGTGTGTGTGGTGTTAATGGTGTGTGTGTAGTGTCTCTCTGTGTTCACTACTGTGTGTGTGGTGTTAATGGTGTGTGTGTGTGGTATCTGTCTGTGTTCACTACTGTGTGTGTGTGTTGTCAATGGTGTGTGTGGTGTCTGTCTGTGTTCACTACTATGTGTGTGTGTTGTTAATGGTGTGTGTGTGTGTGGTGTCTGTCTGTGTTCACTACTGTGTGTGTGTGTTGTTAATGGTGTGTGTGGTGTCTGTCTGTGTTCACTACTGTGTGTGTGTGTTGTTAATGGTGTGTGTGTAGTGTCTCTCTGTTCACTACTGTGTGTGTGTTGTTAATGGTGTGTGTGTGTAGTGTCTCTCTGTGTTCACTACTGTGTGTGTGTGTTATGGAGCCCATTATGATGATCGGGTTGGTGTTGTTCACCTGCTGGCGAGTTCGTAATCTGTGGTGGCGGTGGTGGTATCAGAATCGGTATTCGTCCTGGAGAAATCTGACGAACCACGAAGCTCCTTTCCACAGACGTCTCGTCTGAGGAAGTCGTGGCCCACGCCAGTGCCGCCCGAGACAACGGAGACACACAGCGCGGGGCTCTGAGTGTCTCCGTTGTGCTTCTGTGCGAGCTCGTGGCGTGGTGTTGTCAACTTGTGGACAAGTTGGCGATTGTCCCCAGGGCCACTGATGGTGAACGAGAGCCGCTGGGGTCCAGCCGCCCGCACGCCGCTCGCTCGCCAGCCAGCGTCTTAGCGCGGTGGTGTGACCATCTATCCCGTACATTTAGATATCACGACATGGTACTCGTGACCGCAAGCGCTACCATTCACAAAGTGTCACACTATAGATTTATAAGAAATGGTGCTAGATATGATTATGATAGTATTGGTCATGTACAGTTTTGTGTATATATAAAATTGTACCTACAGATAATAAACCAACTTTTATTTGGAAGACAATGATCCTTGATTGCGAGGAAATAGCCTACGATGTTGTGGTGGTAGTGGAGTTGTAGGCACCCACTCGTGTGCCGTGCCGGCCTTCGTAGGTGTTCGCTAACAGCACCTGCCCCTAAAGTGTGTTGGCGCTATACGGGGGATCTTTGTATTTGCTGCGTGCGAGCGACCTGGTGCTCGGGGGCCCCGTCTCCTGGTGCTGGAGGGCGAGGGCTCTGTGCGTGCCTTCGCGTCTCACGTCTAAGACGTCTCTCTCATGGAACGCCACTGTCGCCGTTGTGTCTGCAGGGTCCCCGTGGATTCCCAGGAACCCCAGGTCTCCCTGGAATCAAGGGCAGCAGAGTGAGTGCCAACAACACACGGCTGCGCAACGCCACGCGTGCTCTTTCACACGTGGCCTGCCGAAGAAAACGGGAACTCTTTTTCGATTGTGGAGTTGTACTTATTTCTGAGGATGGCAATCTTATACCTGTCAGCCCCTTATCAGTGCCTATCTTATTACAGACCAATTCAAACCTTATTGGTCACCCCGTGCCCTTATAAATCTCAAGGTTCATCCTACAAAGTCCCATCACAAGGGAAAAACACAAACAGACAATTTATTTTGCCCGTATCGAAACGGCTGTATGCCGTATGGCCCTGAAAACTAAATTTCCCTGCACAAGAACACGGGGTAAACCGTATGGGTTGACGGGTATGCAATCTCAGGAGTTACATTGGAGTCAGAAAACAAATACACGTTAGTGTTGACTTCTGCTCAATAATAAAACAGCAATACATACTTCAGTCATTCCAATCAAGTACTTTCTTCATATGAAATCTTTTATTTAATCTTAAATGGTCAATGACAATTTAATATCTGATTTTCAAAGTAGTCCATTCGTGATAAGCCGGTGGCAGAATGTGGTGGGCCCATGTGATGAGGCGAATAACCTCCCAGGAAATCCTTGACGCCTGTTCTCGGCTAACCGCTAAAAGTACGCGCTCACAACAAAACAAAGCTCCATCGTCTTCACAATGAGCCTTAAACAGGTTAAACCTATGTATTACTGTCATTCAATCAACTGATTACAGCAATCAACCAGTTAGCTTGAGAGGGCTAGACGTGAAAACAAGTTATCTTTTAGGTTATAAATATTCTTGGTGTTTCTGCAGAGCGAATTGAAATGCTGTCGTATTTGCGGCGCGGTCACACCCAATGCGTCTTGTCATTTTAAATATGAACGATTGGGAGTTGGGGCTTCGCTTCCATCGCAATGACGGCCGGGTGGCTCCTGAAGGCTCAGCCGCGTGCCATCAGGGGGCTCTGTCCCTCGAGCCGGGCCTGGTCAACACTCAGCTGTGGATGGTCAAAGGTTGACTGAACCCTCCAGGGAAAAAAAAAACAAGTGGAAATGTGTTAATTAATTAACTGGTTATTTTACGAGAATAAACAACCCTTGTTGTTGTAGTTGTTGTTGTAGTAGTATATATGAAGTAGCGTTGGCTACAGATATCGGGCGACCTGCTGCTGTAACTCAGCCACCCCACAGCGCCGTGGCTGGCAGGGGGTGCTTGCCCCCCCCCCGTCACCTAAAGAGGCGCTGCCCTTTACAGCTCGGGCAGGACAGGCGACAGACGAGAGAGAGAGAGAGAGACAGCAGATGGCATCGTTGGGCTGTGACTTGTCCACAGTTTCACTTTGCCCGTGTGGCGCTCTGTGAGTTTGTGTATCGCTCCCCCCCCACCTCCCCATCAAGCAAGGGCACACGCTAGGGGGTGCTGGTACAGAGAGCCACGACCGGTATGGCGTGAGCTCGGCTGTGCTTACAGCAGAGCCGGCTCGCAGTGTACCGCTGCTACTGCTGTTGGAGGGAACGCGAGAGGTGAGTGCGCGGTGACAGCGGTACAGCTCTACAGGGCGCTGTCTCTCTCTGTCTCTCTCTCTCTGTCTCTCTCTCTGTCTCTCTGTCTCGCAGGGATTCAACGGCAACGATGGAGCCAAGGGAGACACTGGCCCCGCAGGAGCCAGGGTGAGTGCGGCCTCTCCATCCCGGCTCACGGAGCGTGCGCACCCGTCCCACATTCATAGTGCGCTGTGTTGTTGTGTTGTTGTGTGCGCCCGGCTTGTCTCACTCACCCTGTGTGTTCACCTTCGGTAGGGCGAGGCTGGCACGCCTGGATCGAGTGGAGTCGTGGGCATTTCTGTGAGTTGTGCACTCCGTACATCGCCACCGTGCCAGTCAGCGTGCCGCGTGTCTCGAGAGTAGGCGGGGCGAGCGCCCTTTGGCGTTGGTTGAGACATCGAGAATCTGGGGCTGGGATTTCAAATGCTTTCGTTGGGCTCGTTCTATCGTCACCAATTGCAGGTCACGACCGTCATGTAACCAACACAACGGTGCTTCACCGAACCCATTTATTGTAATACATTGTTAATTATATGGAGAGAGGGGTCCACGCCAGAGGAATGAGGAATTTTCAATTTCTGGTTTAGGATCTCTGCTCAAAACGTGCATACTTAATAGCACACACTCAGGGGTGTGTATGATACCAGAGTTGACTCACATAGGAGTCCGCACACTTGTGTGGGAGGTGTGAGTTGGACCAGATGTGATCACGACCAATAGATGAGTGCAGATCTGACTACAAGTGATTGAGAGATTATGCAGCTGGTGGCATGATTGGTCGATCAGGATTGTATTATCATTTGTAATAATGTGTTGCAGACGCATGATTTTAAGTTCAAATTCATCTCCATAGTTTCGCCATATGCAAAATACTAGCGGGCAGTCCTAATCTTCTCAGCCAGTTGTATCGCGTTCATGACTTTATAATGTCACCTTTAGTTCTGTATTGTAAGCTATAACATGATGTTATCAACTACAGTACTCTAAAGATGTTTCATATTTATTTGGCGAGTGGGTGGCACCGGGCCTAGCGGCGACGTTTAGGAGAGGACAGCTGTGAGGTTTCTGACATGCGGAGCGCCGCTGTGAACCGCGGTGGTGCGAGCCACAGGCATCACCGTTAGACACACCCTGACCTTCAACACTCTCGCCGCTTCTTCACACGTATCACGCTCGCAGCGCAGGAGATCGTAGTCACTTCCCTTCACGGTACTCAAGTACAGAACCTCATACGGTCACAAATGTACGCGTTGGTGGTGCTCCGGGGCGACGACTGCGTGGCTGCGTGTGACGTGTGTCTGTCGCTCCGTGCGCTGTGCTCCAGGGTGGACGTGGAGCTCCAGGAGAGAGAGGCCGCCCCGGACCCAGCGGCCCGGCCGTAAGTCCCGAGCACTCCACGCGTTCTCCGCGAGCACGGGTTCCCCTGAGTGCGCATGAGCGATGATTGATGACGATGAAGACATGTGGAGGTATAGCAACGTTTTGCTATATGATCAGTTTTTAATACCCAGTCAAGAGCTTTGAGAGATTATTTAAAGGTAATAGCTTCTGAAGCCCTTCCTTCTAAGGGTCAGGCGCACAGCCCAATAAGCCCATCGATTTGTCGATGCCAACCCATCGTTGAGGGGACCTCTCTTGTGAAAGTGAATGTCTACATTTTCACTTACACGCTGCTTTGGTTTTGTTGAGATGCGTTGCTCTTGCAGCACACGCGTACACAAACACAATCACACGCGTACGTAAACACGATCGCACGCGTACACAAACACAATCACACGCGTACGTAAACGCGATCGTACGCTTACGTAAACACGATCGCACGCTTACGTAAACACGATCGCACGCGTACGTAAACATGATCGTACGCGTACGTAAACACAATCACACGCGTACGTAAACACGATCGCACGCTTACGCAAACACGATCACACGCGTACGTAAACACGATCACACGCGTACGTAAACACGATCACACGCGTACGTAAACACGATCACACGCGTACGTAAACACGATCGCACGCTTACGCAAACACGATCGCACGCGTACACAAACACAATCACACGCGTACGTAAACACGATCACATGCGTACGCAAGCACAATTGTTGGTTCTCGCCTCTCATCCGTGTGTACCGCTGGACGGGAGGTGACGGATGGACTTTCGTGACGTAATCGTTATCAGAAGCCACGTCACGCTGGATTTTTCTGGTTCTGGGTTTCTTGCCTTCAAATGTAGGATGTGGGTGACCCCCATATCTAAAGGGGCCGCAGTAATCAACCACAAAGCCAGTACAGGAGTCGAATCCAATGTTTTGTTAGTTAATTGACATAGCCGTCCCGGCTCCATGTGGAACTGTATTTACGGACAAAAACAAATGCATAAAAGCAAATATATTCCGACGTCCACACGATTAAATCTCAACAAAAACTAAAATATGAATATTATGCAATTTCTGTCACAATGCGTGTCGTGTTTAACCCATGGTGCCTCTCCATCTTCCGCTGACCGTCCGTGTGCCCGCGGGCTGTGCGCTAATGCGAGTGTTCGTGTTCCCACAGGGAGGCCGTGGCAATGACGGACAGGCCGGAGCCGCCGGGGCCCCAGTGAGTGACCCCACCGTCCTGCTCTGCTTTACTCTCACCTGGGTGGCAGGCAGCAGGGCCACTATGTTTAACTCACCTTTTGCTCGTCCAAGGACGGGTGTATTGCAGTAAATATGAAACTTGCAAACGAAAATCCGCGACGTGATATTCATTGCATCCATTCGTGTGCAATTTGTAAGGCCGCGGTGACACAGACTTATTTCATTTAAAGCAGGGGTGGGGAACGTCCGGCACGCGGGCCGTATGAGGCCCACGAAATCATTTGGTCTGGCCCTGCCAAGGCAACCACAGGCAGGACTCGAAATTCAATAAATCTAGGAGCAAACCTGGAAAAGCAGTTGCGAGTAGCAACATCATCAACACCAGCTAACATCACCACACGCCTCCCCAAAGAGAAGCAGTTCCAGCCATCACATTAGGGGCGAGTTAATTAAATGTTTGACCAAATATAACGGGCTAATTTTTAAGTTGATAATTTTGTATGGCCCGCGAATGATGTTATATAAATATCCAAATGGCCCTTGGCAGAAAAATGGTTCCTCACCCCTGATTTAAAGGTTATAATCCCTTGTTCATCACGACGTCCTTTTTACTTCTATATCTCAATAGCGTTACGGAGATCACGTGACGTGAGGGTTCTGCCTTTGTAGTGAGGGTTGTAAGTTGATGCCGAGGAGCGGGGAGGAGGCGCCTCACCCCCCCATGTGGAGTGACGTCAGCCGCTAATTATTATAAATGGTCCATTTAAATGTGGTGGGCTGTTCGATGTGGAGTGACGTCACCCACTCATGATTATTAATGTGTTTCACCCGTTCTAAAGCTGCATTTATTTATTGATGGCCCCAGGCTACACCACCTATAAACTTTGGATTAATCTGGCCCACATTTAAACATAAAAAAATATCTCAAGGCATAGGTAATACAATATTGTACAATGAAATGCACCATAATTTAAGAAAATGTTGGACTAAATGTATCACTCATAAGGGTTTGCTCAGTGTTATTGTTTTTTTCATGGGCAAGCAATGCATTGCCTGTCTGTAGGCTCTTAGCATCTCCGAATGGGGATGTGTCCACGTGTCCATGTGATAACATGGACACAATTACAAAAGAAAGCAGTGACTCATCTTCTGTGGGGTTCATTCAACCCGACCAGAGACCACCGCACACGTCGCAATCCTAACGACGAAATCGAGTTGACCGCAGTGACGTCTGTCGAGCCATGGCTGACACGAATAACCGCACGTGCCCTGTGTGACTGCGTGTGCCCTCACAGGGCTCAGCTGGTCCCGCAGGCGCTGCAGGCTTCCCAGGCGGCCCAGGCGCCAAGGTAATGCCCTTCTTGTCTTTACCGCGTCTCACAGCACGGCACCTTCCTCTCTGCGCTCTCATAACACGATCGCGCTCGTAGCAATACCTCGAGGTGAGAAATGGCCCCGGTGGCTTCACTTGGCCTCCACAAAGGCTTTCAATCGATGAGTCCAAGGTTTGTGACGCGCCATATTGAGCAAAACGTTGAGATGGAAGTGCGGATGGCACGGAGAAAAAATTAACTAAATTCAACTAAAACAGAAGAGAAAATAAATGTTTTTTAGTCCAATCTAAAAAGCACCGAGCGTCACGGCTGAGCGAACTTCAGTTGGCAGACTCTTCCAGACCGCCGGGGCGGCTGCAGATGAAAAACTCTAGAAAGTTTTACATCCTCTGGCCTTCATGAACGGAGTCTGAGGGATGGCTTTCCTTTATAAGGTGGTGTTCACAGATCAACTCATGAGTGCTTGGTTCAAAATGTGTCCTTTGCGTGCTGCGTTTCAAAAGCCACGCACACAAGGCAGACACTTTCCATGGGCGCGATCGCACTGTGTAGGACGAAGCGGCGTGGCATCTTGGCTGTGGCCCTGGCAGCTGAGACCAGGCCACGTGGTCCATGCCCGACACGCACGGGGGCTGTGCTCTTCTCTGCCGCTGACCCAGAGCCAATTGAGGATAGTCTTAGTTCCTATGACGAGAGCAGTCTCGGATCAAATCTGTGGAAATCGCAGCATGATGGGAGGACGAACAAAGCACCCTGCAGATCTGCCAGGATGATTGCAAATGTTCTTTGGTCAACCTGTCTTGAGGTATAAATATTCATTAAGACTAAGTTAAACAAACCTCAAGCAGCCGAGGCTATTAGCGTGCCTTCATCTCAAATGAGCAGTGAATAATGATCGTCTAATCAACAATGATCTAAAGTAGTCAGAGGAAACTCCCCACTCAGGTGACACACAAGCGTGCGTCTTTACTAATCACCAAGTATCCCACTTGAAATTATTTTACAGAAATAAACTAAGCTCGCTGGAAGTGAAATCTTTAAAACGAGATTGTGTCACAGTGTGTGGTGGTTTCATGGTGTGTGATGGTGATGGTGTCGCTATGGGTCGCGGTGATGATGTTATGGTGTCTGACGCTGATGGTGCCGCCACTTGTCTCCAGGGTGATGCCGGTCCCCCAGGCCCCCGCGGATCGGATGGAGGCGCTGGCGGCCGTGGAGAGATGGGCCCCGTGGGTCCCAGCGGCTCTCCTGGCCCTGCTGTACGTCCCCTCCGCTGCACGCACACACAGACAGCATCCGCACACACACAACATCCGCACACACACACACACAACATCCGCACACACAAACACAACATCCGCACACACACACAACATCCGCACACACAAACACAACATCCGCCCCTCGCTGCTAGGCAACGCTGATATCACCACAGCACTTGTGCCAAGCTGGGTGTATTTTGAGGCCACGTGACGTATCGAAGGCTCGCTGACAGGAGATCACCGGACCGACTCAGGCACTATGGGTTAACTAACCGAGATGATCGGCAGATGCACCACCTGTCCTCCCCACTGTATCAACTCAAGTTTTAGCCGCCCGGCACTCCACTTATTGGGAGTGACTGCCTCCAACTGCCGAGCAGCAACCTTCACAGGCCTCCTGCACAGAGGCCGACCTTGACGCCGTTGGGAGCAGTCATCACCAAGCCGAGCCTCGGCCTGCATGGGCACCCAGCCACAGGGCAGGCCTGGGTGGAGATGGCCGGCCCCTGGAACGCGTTTAACATCTTGCTCTTTTCCTAACAGGGCACGCCAGGTTCTGACGGAGCGCAGGGCCACAAGGGTGAGATTGTGAGTACAAGCAGGGGTCACGCGTCGACTGCATTGGATCTGCCATGTCACACGCTGCTACTCATCATCACCGCCACCACCACCTTCACCTACATCGTCTCCTCATTCTAATGAAACTGTCAGGGTCTACTGCACAGATTCCTCCACCTCGGTTATCTCTCCACGTGTTTCTCTCCTCTCTACTGCTGCCCTGCCACTAGTGTTGTTCGCAGCTTGTATATTATTATTCTATTTAGCAAAGCCGAATTTACTCGAATGTGTATTGCTCACGCGATAGCGATGTCGTGGACTCAATACTGTTCTGAAATCATACACATTGATAGTTTTATTTGATATACAGAAATGTGAATGTTGCAATAATTATATAGCAATCTGTGCTGAAATGCAGCTAAGGACTACACAGCATGTATTAATAATGCAATACTCTTACATGGTTAGAACTGATGTTCGAGCCTACTTCGATATTTTCCTGAGCACGTACAAAGTTATTTAAATACATTTTCCTTCATAATCTTTTGGGAGTTCCGTAGTTTTATAGTTACGGTACTTTCGATACATTAAAAATGTGGTCAGTTGTGTGATGATGCTGCTTCACCTGCCTGCACCGTTGTAAAGACGACCTCGCGATGAAAACGCAAGCGGGTCGGGATTTTGTGTGAGTGTGTGTGTACATGTGTGTGTGTACGTGTGTGTGTGTGTGTACGTGTGTGTGTGTGTGTACGTGTGCATGTTGAACTTCTCCCGCACCGTACGTAGCCACCCGTGCTAATTGGAGATGCTGGGAACGACAGCAAACTAAACAAAAAAGCAGTTCTAAAGAAATTAGTTTTCAAACTAAATGTTAAAGTGCATAGCTCCAGGGGCTTCCTAATATCGGAAGGAAGAGCGTTCCAGACGACCGCAGAAGCGCATCTGAAAGCACCACGCGATGCGGTGACCACCGCCTTTGTTCGATGGCGAGCCAAAAGCCGCTGCTGCGAGGATGACCGGAGTCCGCGTGATGGTGAGGCAGGGAGTGTGAGGCAGGGAGTGTGAGGTTGCGCTCTCGCCCGCTGTCTGCAGGGAAACGCCGGCAGCTCGGGAGCTCCAGGTTTCCCAGGAGAGCGTGGGGCCCCCGGCCAGGCCGGAGGAGTTGGAGCCCCAGGACCCGTGGGAGCGAACGTAAGCAGGGCCCAACGCTCACCCAGCCCTCGCTCACCACATCCATCGCACACTCACCACCTCACGCTCACTCCACTCGCCACACCTATCACGCGCTCACTGATTAACGCTCACCTCACCGCACCTGCGATACGCTCGCCCGCCCGCCCCACCACTCCTCCCGTGCGCTCGCTCGCCCCTCGCTGCTCCTCACTCCCACGCTGCGCCGCTCGCCGGTCACGGTCGCCGGATCTCGCCGGCGCTTCGTCGCCACGGTCTCCGTCGCCCGGCAACGATCTCCTCGAACTGGTCGACCCGGAACGTCGGTCCTCCTGGATTCCCCACCGCACGCCCCCTCACCGGCTTCTCTCACGCAAACGCTTCCCACTCCCTTCCCCTGTGCCCTGCTCTTAAACCCCCAACGTCTCTCGTCCCACTCTCATCCTCACTCTCACGTTCCCAGACGTGATGTTCACCGCCTGTGCTCACCGCCTCTGACGATGATGGGTTGAACAGACCCCAGGCTGGGATGTGAACTCCTCGGCGTGGGCCGTGCGCGCCGCGCGGCGCGACACGGCCGGAGCGTGCGCCGCACAGGGGCGCTCACACCCCCCCTCTCCCCCGCGTGTGCGTGCAGGGCGAGGCCGGGTCACCAGGATTCAAGGGCGAGCCCGGTGGCAGGGGAGACCCCGTGAGTACTCGCCTTGCTCGCCAGCGCGCCGGGCAACGCCACGTCGGGGATTCAAACAAACGCCACGGCTGCTCGCTCGGGTTGATCCGGTGGGGCTGTCCGCACAAAGATAAAGATCCCCCGTACTGCCCGTAACAGACTGTTGGGGCAAGTGCTGTTAGCGAGTAGCACCTATGAAGGCCGGCACGGCACACGACAGGATGGGTGGCCAGCACCACGCCCGGCCGCCTTTGTCTCCCCAGTGGCGATGCTTTCACACCGCACCAGGTACTAAAATTAGTTGCCCAAGGGGAGGCCCAGGACCGGTTCAAAAAATCGTCACCGGTGTTGGCCGTGAACGGGAATTGAATTCGGGTCGCCGGCTTCGAAGCCCCGCACGTGAACCTGTGGCACCTTCACGCTAAGTGAGGCTTCCTCACCACGGGTACAGTGCACATGCTTTCTACACGAGGGATCGTCAGTCGTCAGCGACCGTGGTGTTGTCAGTGATGCATAGACACAATATCAACAATAGTAAACTCGATGGCGAGGGGACGCCCGGTCGTGCGTCCGGTTCCCTGCGGTCCTCGGCTGCTGGCAGCGGCGGTGACGTGGCGCCCGCTTTTTGCAGAGGTTCAAATCGAGCGGCCGCCCCGGTAATCACTGTGGGCGTAATCGCCATAGCGATGCCACGCGGCGTCTGCTGCACAGTGGACGTTAAAGATCCCCTGACGTCGTTCGCAAGGTGAAGGTCGTCGTGTGCCGGCATCGGGATCCAAATTTGTGAAGTTCTAACATGAAAGGGCGTGTTTGAGATGGGACGTGATGCTGAAGCGCTCTGATATGCCCCAGCATATAGGGCAGTATTATATCAAATACAAATCAGAATTCTAATTTTAATTATTGGCAGGGTTCACTTTGCTGTCGTATCAGCTGAGGCTCAATTGAGAGTGGGGCGACGGTCGTCTCCGCTGGCGCTGTTGAGCCGCTGAAGCTCGTGCTGTGCGGTCCACGTGCAGTGGAAGGTGCTGCGTCAGCGGTGTTCTCGTACGCGTCAATATAGCCCACATCTGTGCGCGTATTCCAACGAGGCAGATTAATTTGTATCGTTTTGCAAAGCCTCTTTAGTCTCTAGACAGACCGTGACAAATCAAGCTCCGAGCTCCGATCAGTTTAGCTCGAAAAAGCTCCCACGCCGCGTGGTTGCAGCTCGACTCCTACAGCTGCCGCCTCACGGATCCGCACTCGGCCCGCCGGCTTCGAGGTGGCGTCCGTAGCGATGCGGCGCTACCCGCAGCGCGCTCCGCGTGACCTCTGACCGCCACCACCCCCCCGTTCGTCCCCCTCGTGCCCCCCACCCCTAGGGCCCTGCTGGATTCGCCGGACCCCCCGGCCCGTCAGGACCTGAAGGCCGTCGCGGCGCTCGCGGGGAGGCAGGACCGGCAGGGCCCCCTGGGCCGACTGGAGAGAGGGTAGGCCACCGTTCACGCGCTCGGCAAACCTGATGATGCAGTGCTTCTCATTTCACTTGACGTCGACTGTTACACTGGAAATGTTGTTTTCGAGATCAAGGGCGGCAACTGTTAGATTTTCACAATAAACAAGAAAGGGGCACTGCAGTGGCGACAGGAGGGCGTGGGTTCGATCCTGGCCCCTGACTCCGGTATATTTGGAGTTTGCGTGTTCTCTCTCCGCGTGGTTGCGTGGATTTATCTCTGGGTTCGTCCAGTTTTACCCTCAACATTTTGAAGCGTGCGTTTGGATTATTTGGCTCCGACTATGAATTCTCACGTGTGATGATATCGGCCACTTCGATGAGATATCGCGTGTGGCCAAGTCGCCTTTGAAAAAAAGCTAATAGCTCAGTGGTCTTCACCTGGTAAAATAAAAGTTTAGAAATAAATAACACGTCAGAGACACGGCACCTGTACTGTTGTAGTTGAGGTCAGCAGAGGTCACCGGTTACATCTCTTGACGTGGTAGTTTCTTAAATCTCCCCCCCTTGCGTCTGTCCACCCAGCAGTGTGAATGGGTTCGCCATAGTCGACCGGTGGGTCACGTGTGGTGGGGTAAAGTGTGGGTACTCGCACCTCTTCCAAGATGTCTGACCAGCGTGGAAAAGCAGGCTAAATACCCTCTATAGGGGTCCTCGAGAGCTCCCTCTAGTGGACGCCTCTCCGTCAGCAGTGGTGTGAGCAGGGTAATTGAGGGCTGCGCCTTTGCCTTTTAAAGAAGATGATTGAAGTGTTCCCGTTTGTGATAGACAGCCTTGTAAGACCGAGTTGCAGAAAGCTCGGAGTTGGCCTGCTCGTGACGAGTTTTGTCAAATCCGCACGTGCATCCGCTCTGCCGCTGCTGCCGCTGCTGTTGCGTGCGTCTGTCTAGGGGTCTGGCGGTTCTCCAGGAGCTCCAGGTGCTGACGGCCTTCAGGGTGAAAGGGTAAGCACCGACAGCGTTCAACCCTCACACACAAAGACAACATTCCCCTATATATCCTGAACCAGACTGTTGGGGCAAGTGCTGCTAGCGAGCACCTATGAAGGTCGAAAGGGCACACGAGGGGGTGGGTGTCCAGCACCACGCCCGGCCGCCTTTGTTTCCCAAGTGGCGATGTTCACTACACACTGCACCAGGTACTCATTTGAGGCTGAGTCAACCTAGGGGAGGCTCAGGACCGGTTCAGATAATCGTCGCTGATGTTGGCCATCAGCGGGAATCGAACTTGGCTGGTCAGGTTCATAGTGCAACATGCTAACCGTTATGCTACCGCTCCCCACAGAGGTTGAGCAGTTAAGATCCAGTGGCCGCCCCGTTATAACTGTATCTAACTACCATAGTAATAATACTGAGGGCTGCTTCATGGTGGACGTTAAATTTCCTCTGATGTTATCCGTAATGACATCGGCCATTGTGTGCCGATGTCATGGTCCAAATTACCAGAAAATGTACTCATTTTGGATCACACACAGCGACCATTGCAGCCTAATGTGACAACTGTGCAGGATGCTGCTGGAAAAGAGTCATGAGACTCAGCGAGGCTTTCCTGGGTAAACCAGCGTAATGATAATAACAACAACAATGAACACACGTGATCACACAAACACCCACATACGCACTTGTAACAACAACAGCTGCCATTCGCCACTAACGTATTTTCCCGCATATAACCCGCATACGCATATACCCCGCAAAAATAGCGTTTTGTTTAAAACAAATTTCAGATAGCCCACACCTCCATATACCCCACATGCATTCATATCTTTAACGTCGTTACCGCAGCTTCATTCCATCATATTAATACGAAGTTTACATTTGTAATACATTCCACTATCAATTGTTAACATTACAATCATAACGTGCACAGAGAAAACAAACTAACCAGAAACGAGTGAACTTAAACAATAAATAAGTAACAAAAGTAAACATCCAATAAATAAGTAACACATAACTGGTAGATAAGTAAGTAAGCATACTGTTAGGCTTACCAGCATTCGACCTCATCATATTACAGCTACTGGACCGGTAGTTACCCCTGTACAGTTTTAGCACTGGTAGATTGCGCACTGCGCAGACAATAGCGGCACTACGGTAACGCCATTGCCTCCTGGCAACAAAGCCATTGGAAGTTTGAAACAAAGCTCATGGTCGCGACTGTATAGTGCTCAGCCAATCACAGCGGCCGAAGGGACTCAGCAATTATGATTCCGCGTCTGGTAGACACTTGTTAAGGCCCTTCCCATTGTGCAATCCATAGCCTCAGCTGAAACTTTCGCACCCCCCTACAGCCACTGAAAGTGTTACGGTAAACAAAGTGCGTCCACTTCAAACATTGTCGTTTCATTGTACAAACAGTTCGAATCATTTAAAACGTGATAACATGTGCAATTTTAGTGAGAGTGGTTTATTCAGCAGTCCTTTATTCAAAGGTAAGTGTTGCATAGTGGATAGTCCTACCATGAAAACATTAAACGAGTTATGACAAGTCACACGTGTAAAATCTTTTTGGGATAGCCCGCACCTCCATATACCCCGCAGGATCTTGTTTTGTTTGTAAAAAATTGGTATACTCCGCGAGTTATATGCGGGAAAATACGGTATTTGGCGGCAACGTCACGACGACGCCTGTGCCACGTGAAGTGTCGAAGGCTCACGGACAGGAGGTCACTGGACAGACCCAGCAGTGTAGCAGCGGTGTCTTGGGTTCGGAGGCACCAGACACCTTCGGCGTGAAATCGTTTGGTTCAATGGTGAGGAAGCTTCTGTGTGCGCGTGCGTGCGTTCCGGCAGGGCGCTGGTGGGGAGGTTGGGCCTGGAGGCCCCGTTGGATCCAAGGGAGATTCTGGAGAGCCCGGCATCTCTGGCTCAGCAGGCATCCCCGGCGCCAGGGTGAGTCCGTGCCGAGCCAGCGCGAGCGCCGTTGCCTCGGGCCTTCCCACGTCTTGCGGCTAGGGGAGACCTCATCGCCGTAGCTCGTCTGGCACGGCGGCGCGGTGGGAACACCCTCTCCACACCGCAAGAATGCCTGGGTTTAATTCCAGACTCGGGTGCCTTTCTGTGCGGAGTGTGTATGTTCTCCCTCTGTTGTGCGTGGGTTTCGTCCGGGTTCTCCGGTTTCTTCCCCAAAAAACATACAACGTAACTAGTATTATATTCTTAGCTCTTTCGGTAAAGTCACAGCTACTTACAAATAACTCAATAGGGATTACAAATAGCAACCACAACATCGTCCTCCTACTGCGGAACCTTGGCAGGGCCCTCCTGATAAAGAATCTTGAGACTCGGTGAGGCTTTTCTGGGTAAACAAGTGTAATATATCGATAAATAATTGCGAAACTTGTGAACATGACCCTTCAAGTGCTTCCCTGAAAAGTTTTAGATTTCAGACGATTTGTTTTATTTGTCAATCACTTGACAGGATGTCATTTCGTAGGCTCATTGCCAGAACATGTGAACTATTATTCGTGCGTTGTTGACATTGTGCTTATACACACATTCCTGTTCGATTTCTTACGCTGACTTTCGTAACGACGCGAGGTGACACGCGCGATTTGTTTGAGCTAACACATCGGATGTCTCTCACACGGATGTCTCTCACAGGGTCTGACCGGCAGCCCAGGAAACCCCGGACAAGATGGGAAGCCAGGACCCGCGGTGAGCCTATGGAGTGATGCTGAGATAGTGCCGCACGCACCCCCGGCATCAGCCCCGGACCACTGCGTGCCTCCGGCGAACGAGGCGACGCAGGCTCTCACTGGGGCCTAGCTTGCACTTGGAGAATCACGGAACGTTCCGAATGCCCATTTGTCACCAGATACCACGGTGTGACCGCACTGCGGTGTTTTTAGTCTTAGCGGTCCCCACGTTTGTACCTCACTTGGCCGCCCAGGTCAACATCACACTCCTGAGCAGCTGCGATGCGTCCTTGTGATAGAGGCGAGGCATTCCAGCGAGCATCACCTGCGTGCACCGGAGACCCTCTCTCCCTCTCATCGCCTATAGAGTTATTTGGCAAAGCTTCTGCGGACACAGAGGATCCGCCACCCTCTTCGCCACGGAACGGTTCGCGTGAGATTTTGACGAGAGCTGCGGTCGTGACGCGGGGTGCCGTAACGCCCCCCCCCCCCCCCCCCGTGTGTGCCGCGCGCAGGGCCCCGTCGGTGGTGACGGCAGCCCAGGCTCCGCCGGTCCCCCTGGGCCACGTGGCCAGCCTGGAGTCATGGGCTTCCCTGGAGGCCGTGGTGCTGCGGTGAGTCGCACGCCGCACACGGCGGTCTCTCGGGGCTCAGGGAGACGTAGCTTTGATTCCGGCTCCTACCGCCGTGGTCGTCGCGCATGCCTGCAGGGGCCCAAGGGCAGAGAATTAGGATTTCCGTTGCCTCTTGGGTTCCATGGTGGCTGCACAGGCCTCACACCTCTGGTGGTCTGCAGTTGTACTTGTGATTGTTATTTAAATGTAAAACTAGGCACGTTATAATAATGATGATAATGACAAATTCTTAAGTGCCGTAACATGGCAAGCCATTACAAGGATGGTATATTGTGATCAGTTTAAACCCAAGAATCATTTTCATTGCCCAGGTGCTCCTTTCTCCGTGCGTGCCTTCTTCTGAGTTGCTCGAGTTTCAGTGTTCCCACCAAGGTGCCTCACTTTTGGGCCCATTTTTGGGCCCAAAAAATGTACTCATAAAGTGGAAATTATTGCATGAGCATTCAAATCTGTGGTTGACCAGTCTGATGTTTTGCCGTATCCGTGAAGGTGTGTGTGATGTACGGTTGCATGTGTCAGCATGGCGTGTGTTGCCGTCCATGTGTTTTGACGGTGTGTTGATCTTCGTGCACGTGCAGGGAGACGGAGGGAAGTTGGGAGAGCGTGGAGATGTGGGCCCAGCCGGTGCCGTGGTAAGCTTCTCTCTCCTCACATCCAGAGCCCCGAGCCGCATTGTCCGCAACCGCCCAAACGGAATGAACGCCGCTGGCGTAGACGAGCAGGAGGTTGAGAAGCTAGTTTTGGTCTCCATGTCACGCGGTGGTGGACGCTGCTACTTGACCCACTCAGCAGTACTGTTCCCGGGGTTCCAATCAGGGCAGTGATCTGGATTAAGTTGGTCCTGAGGTGTAATGTCTCATTGTAACTCGGTCACCTGCTACACAAATCATATCCCGTTTCCTAACTACAGTGAAACACTTGGCCCTGTGCACCTGATTTGCTCTCATAGAAAGGACTGTTGCTTAAATAAGATTCCGTACAATGTGCGTGTCCTCTCATTGCGATAACCTATTTAGATTTAAATTGCATTCTTAAAGGTGATCTGCGCATATCGGCTGTTGGGTAAAATGACTCCCAGCCGTTTCCAGAGGGCAACATTGATAACGTAACGAGCACTTAGCTCTGTCGACTTCTCACGTTCGCTAGGAATTGTGACCGGCGACGATAGCAGAGGTGAGGCCTGTTCAATCTGACGTGCCGCTTCGTTCCTCCCCCCTGACACAGGGCCACGCTGGCAAGAACGGAGACACCGGCGCCCCCGGCCCTGCTGGACCAGCTGTGAGTCCGGCTGCACCGCACGCAGAGTGACCGCACGCACCACACCCAACGCACGCACCGCTCGCAATGCAACCGCACGCAACGCAACCACACGCACCGCAACCGCCAATCGATACCGTGTGACAGGTGTGTGACGCGCGTGGTGTGACTAGTGTGTGACATACATGGTGTGACGTGCGTGGTGTGATGCGTGGTATGGCACGCGTGTGATGCACGTACTGTGACTCGTTTGGTGTGACATGTGGTATGACTGTTGTGTGACTGCGTGGTGTGATACGCGGTGTGACACGCGGCGTGACGCGCGTGTGTGATGTGCGGCGTGTGACGCGCGTGGTCTGTGTGTCTCCAGGGAGCTTCTGGCGAGAAGGGAGAGCAGGGAGCCGCAGGTGGCCCCGGGTTCCAGGTACAGCAGCGTGTAAACGTTTACCTTCAGCAAAACATTAAATTTATATTCCCTGCGAGGTCACCGTTATTTATGTGACATTTTTATTTGCAATGTTAACGATACACAAGACAATAACATCTAAATTCAGAATGTATACTTTTCATAAGAGGTAGAGACGAGGTATTTTGCTGTGCGCCGCACGGAGTCACGCGGTCCGTGGCACCAGGGTGGTGCCAGTGTGGCGTGCACGATGCTCACTCTGTGCCGTGTGCTCCCGCAGGGTTTGCCCGGCATGTCTGGAGCTCATGGAGAGGCTGGGTCACCAGGAGAGAAGGTAACGCTCCTCATAGAGGCCCTCGCCAGGCAGTTGGACTTCAGGGTTCTTGTGAGGCCTGTGACATAAGAATAAAATAATATAATAATCATAAATCAGTTTTCCACAACTGTTCACAGCAACGGTGTGTTTTTGTCGAGTGAAGCGGCGTTTATAGAGCATTGTGAGCACATCTCACTGTGGACTTGAACGGGCTGAGGGAGCTCGCAGCATTGGCGGCTGAGCGTTGGACGAGGATGCTTTACGATCACCCGTCTGAGTCGAAAGCTTGAGATTTCCTTTTGCAAACAGAGCGATGGTGTTATTGATGAACGATATTCATTCCACTCTGGTTGTCAGTGAATGGGAAGTTTACCAGTTGTGCCGAATATTTTCAGGATATCTTCAGTTAATTGAATAATTTTACTGTGATCCTCTTCCCATCAAAACTTCGCAAGAGGATGGTGTCCACATGACGCCACGGTGCACGCTGCCATGCTCAGCCGTACATGTACTGTACATCACTGCTCGATTTTCTATTTGGTTCTGCCCACAAGTACAATGATGCGATTGCTGTACTGCTCTCCGCTGGCCCCACCCCACAGTCCAGCTGTGTCATTGTACTCAACTCAATCTCTTCTAAGTTTGCAATCCAACCCGACCAGCCCCAGTTCAACACCAACGCAGCATCAATAAGACCTCAGCTGCATTAACAGCATGGGCTAGCGGTGATCACGTGAGCATCCTTCGACCAACAGTCAATCAGAACTCGCCCGGAGCCCGAGCTCTTCTGCCCTCTACACTGCCAAAACACCAACGCCGAGTGGAACGTGAACGCTCGCTCACCCGCACGGCGAGGCGGGAGCACTGTGTGAGCCAGGGTGAAACCCGGATCGAGACGTTCGGGTGCGAATGGATCTCGGAGTAAACGCCGTGCCGTGTTTTCCCAGGGATCCCCCGGTGAGTCTGGAGGACCCGGGCCGACTGGATCTAGGGTAAGGAGCCCTGACTGCACCAACGCACGGCCACTATGCAGCATCGCACAGCACGCAGCATACACTCAGTGTGTAGCATCACACAGCACGCAGCATGCACTCAGTGTGTAGCATCACACAGCACGCAGCTTACACTCAGTGTGTAGCATCACACAGCACGCAGCATACACTCAGTGTGTAGCATCACACAGCATGCAGCTTACACTCAGTGTGTAGCATCACACAGCACGCAGCATACACTCAGTGTGTAGCATCACACAGCACGCAGCTTACACTCAGTGTGTAGCATCACACAGCACGCAGCATACACTCAGTGTGTAGCATCACACAGCACGCAGCGTACACTCAGGGTGCAGCACATGCTGGGCGTGATAACTCTACAATAACTATCGGGTTAACCACGGGAGTTCTCCTAGTGCTGTCGCGATCTCTACGGCCCTCGAGGCCGAGCGAGACGTCGAGCACAGCGCTCGCTCGCTCGGCGTGGTGTTGGCGTCCCTCCCGTCGGTGCCTCCGTGGCACCCGCGTTCCGAACCGTGCAATTCACTCCCTGCGCGAGCGAGATTCTTTCTCAAACTCACGACCTGCGGTGAATAAGAATCAACTCGTCAACAGCTGACGCTTTCTCTCGCGCCATGGTGCTGTCGGCAATTCGACATTGCTGATGATATTTAGGCCAAAGACCGGGCCTCATGCCGGTCTCTGCTCGGCAATGTTGCATTTATAGAGAACGCTGAGACTGTTTTGGTCGAGAATCTCTGCGAGCAGTTTGAATGGCGCCAGTGGAGATGGTAGCGACCCTCGCTGTGACTCACCGAGCGGCCGCCTGTGCTGTGGCTGCAGGGCGAGCGTGGATCTGCGGGACAGAGGGGAGAGGGTGGACCTGCTGGCCCCACCGGCGCCACTGGAGCCCCCGGATCCCCTGGAAATGATGGAGCCAAGGTGAGGCCACCAGCCACGCCAGCAGCCGCAGTAGCGGCAGCAGCAGTGGTTTCACACAGTCCCCCCCACCCACTTGATAATAATTGTAATCATAATAATTGAGTACGTTGGGTATTGGTGCCGTTGCAAGCCTATCACGAAGGAAGGCGCTGCTGCGGTTCGCAGACGCAGTCCGCGGAAGTGTCGCAGTCCGGGTGATGTTTCCGCGCGTGATTCCAATGGAGTCATTTGCGGTGTGATTTTTGAATTTTGACAAAAATTGGACCGTGACGCCGGCACACAATGACCTTCCGATTTCTGATGACATCGCCGGACCTTTAACGTGTCGTGTGTAGGTCTAATGTGCGAACTATGTTATGGTTAATACACTCGCAGTATTAACCATGGCAGTTGGCCGGTTTAGAATCGGCTGACTCCCATCGGCCCGCGTCACCACCCCCAGCCACGATAGCAGCCACAGCAACTCGGCAGCGCTCGCTGCTCTGGAGACAGAGCTCTGGCCACGAGCTCTGGGTATAGTTTAAATCTACACAAGGCCCGAGCCTTCTCTAGGACACAAGCCTAAAGTTCACTACCTGGGGTGGTGGAAACCTCGGCACCGGACGAGACAAGAGAGGCTGGCCAGAGTGCCGTCGGCAGTGACGGCCTCTGCTCGCTGTGCCCTCCGCGCGTGCCCCAAGAGTTCACGCTTACCGTTCGTGTTTGCGTGTGCCCGGTGCGTATGTGCAGGGATCCACGGGACCGTCCGGACCTCCTGGAGGCCCCGGAGCCCCTGGTGTGCAGGGCATGCCCGGTGAGGGAGGAGCGAACGGAATGCCGGGACCCAAGGGAAACCGCGTGAGTCCCACACGTGCACACGAGAGACGCACGCTCCGAGTTTGGGTGCATCCGCCTCAACCCCGCGGAGGGGTGTGTGCGCGTGTGTGCGTGCGTATTCGTCCCTGCCCTGATGATCGGTGGACATCGTGCTGCTGCTGAAGATGGTAGCATGTGCGCAGAGCGGCTGTTGTTGAGGCCGGATACTGGCTCCGTGAACACGGCGCTTTGAGAACGATTGCCTTTTGCCACGAGGAAAGAGAGTGCCGTGCCACTCGTTAAATAGAAACACGCGAGGGAAAGAGGGAGCAGTGGCGTGCTCGGGCACCCCGCTGCATCGAAGCCAACGCTGCACGGCCACGTGCTTTGGAAACCACAGCAAAGCACTTGACCACAACTCTAACCACACAAAAATCTGGTTTTAGCTCTGGACTATTAAGAAAAGATGTCAAAACGTAACGTTTTCTTCAGTGCTTACATAAATATGAACTACCAAGAGCTATGAGAGTTACATGCTCTTAACCTGTAGTTCAAAACCTTTCTAAAAATGTATTATTTAGGTGTGACATGCAATATATGCCATACTAATTACTGGCATTGCCTCCCTCAGCATCGCTGTGCTTGTACGCATTCGAGATCGCTTGAACGTACACATTTGCATGTGCGTGCGTGTGCGTAGACACGAGTGTGTTTGTGTGTGTAATGTGCATATGTACCTCTGTGTGTGTGCGCACGTATATCTGTATGTATTCATCTGTGTGTATATCTGTATGTATTTATCTGTGTGTGTATCTGTATGTATTAATCTGTGTGTGTATCTGTATGTATTAATCTGTGTGTATCTGTATGTATTTATCTGTGTGTGTATCTGTATGTATTAATCTGTGTGTATATCTGTATGTATTTATCTGTGTGTGTATCTGTATGTATTAATCTGTGTGTGTATCTGTATGTATTAATCTGTGTGTGTATCTGTATGTATTAATCTGTGTGTATCTGTATGTATTTATCTGTGTGTGTATCTGTATGTATTAATCTGTGTGTATATCTGTATGTATTTATCTGTGTGTGTATCTGTATGTATTAATCTGTGTGTGTATCTGTATGTATTTATCTGTGTATGTATCTGTATGTATTTATCTGTGTGTGTATCTGTATGTATTAATCTGTGTGTATATCTGTATGTATTTATCTGTGTGCGTGTCTCTGCGTGTTTGACAGGGCGAGCCTGGTCCAAGTGGCGCTGATGGCGGCCCAGGGAAAGATGGCCCCCGGGTAAGAACTGCACCGCCTCGTTGCACGTGGCCTCCACATGGCGCGCCCACGAGGCTCTCCTGTTCCCTCCTGCACGTGGAATTAACTGGCATCTGCTGTCTTCCAGGGTCTGACCGGTCCCATTGGTTCCCCCGGAGCAGCTGGGCCAAGTGGAGAGAGGGTGAGTGCGTGTGTGCGTGCGTATGTGTGTGTGCGCGTATGTGTGTGTGCGCGTAAGCACAGTGTGGACTTAAAGTCATCACTCGCCACGGCTCTCTGGTGTCGTGCAAAAAAAATTACTCGGTTCATATCTGCAACTTAAAAAAAAAATCCTCACCATCCCACAAGCACAGCTGACTATAACATCACCAGGTACGGAGTTCCACACTGCGGAAACAACTCGGCTCGTGATTGGCCGAGATGAGATTAGATTCCGGGGACAAAGAGGACCATCGGGGATCTGATTGGAGGAAGGTAGCCGAGTGGCTCGTGAGGTCCGTAGCACTCACGCCAGGGCATTGAGGCAGCACCGCCGAGTGTAGGTTTGTATTCCAGCGGCAATCTGTGATAAATGCGTCTCCTTAGGGACAGCAAGTTCACAGTCTCAGCCTTGTCACCAATCACGGAATAAAACCATTACATTTGCTCTTTTTATTAATTCAGTCCATCCCAGCTCTGAGATTTGCACATACAGTCCCGCTACTGTACAATGTACAGTATGTGATTACTGATCCTGCGATTTAGTCTTTATGGCGCAGATTCCAGCGTTGTTGTCCAGAGTTGGGTGAGACCGACCAATGTGACTCGCAAGTAGTTCTGCGGCGTCTTCTTCCAAGCTCACCCCTCGACGATCCCAGGATGCTCTGCCGTTGGTAGGAGCTCCGGGAGGAGGTCGCCTCTCCGGCGCCGCGAGTAGTCGTGTTGACGCCGCCGTGCCACCTTCCCGTTCTCTTCCCCGCAGGGAGAGGGGGGCCCCCCGGGCCCCGCCGGTCCCATCGGCAGCCGTGGATCTCCCGTGAGTGCGCCGCACCGCCACTGATCGACGCTCGCGTGGCAAAAACAACGAACGGCCACAAGCACAGCACGCGCCCAGCACCACAGCGGCACGCTCGTGCACACGGTTCCACGCGCGCTCACGCGTGATGTCGTCTCGCGTGATGTTCCGCAGGGTGAGCGCGGAGAGGGAGGCCCCAGCGGTCCGTCTGGCTTCGCCGGTCCCTCCGTGAGTCCACGCACGGCCGGCGCCGCCGCTCGCGGCAGCACCGCACGCGCGCACCAACGCCGCTTCGCGAGTCTGAGTTTGAACGCTCAGTCACCGGGGTTGCACGGTACCGAGGCTGCTGGGTACAGGAGGACGTTGTGTTCATCAGCAGTGATTGACTCTACATAGTGCACAGCAAGCCCACAGTATTGGAACCCAACAGATGTATTGTTAGCGTTTGGTGGCACACTCACACTCGTGGTGGCAGAGACTATCGACGGAGTGGCAGCCAAATGAGAGAACTCGCCAGAGAGGACGCCCACCGAGGAGGAGACGGAGCGATGGGAGTGGCTCCGTGTGCAGATGGATTGTTGCATCGCAGGGCCATGAGAGGCGGTGACAGCTTTGGGAGGCCATGATGCAGCAGGGAATAGATCACGGCTAAAGATGAGTATTAGTTTAAATATCCTTGCCACTACAGAACCTTCAAGATCTTCTGCATATTTAAGAAAAAAATATGATCACCCTTTTTTCCAGCTTTTGTTTCTGACTTTACGTTGAGTTAGAATAAGAGAGATGTAGCCGATACTGCCTCAACAGGGACTGCAGCCACACTGCTCAGTTCACGAGCTTGAGATTCGTATGCCGGGGGTTTCAATGGCGTTTAGACTGCCCACACATTCACGACGAATCACGGTGCCGTGTACGGCATGATCAGTGCGTAGGATAGCATACCATGCACAGCGGTGCTGTGCTGCGTTTAATGCCGCCAATTGAACATTAAACTGTGTCCTTAATGTACGTTTGGGAATCGTAGCGCGCAATAAAGCGTATTGAGCCTTTGTAATTCGCGTTTAGGGTTCTTACGTTTAAGGTAAATACACCCAAGACTCAAAGAGATTCTTGTTGTGCAGCCGACAACTCCGAAAATCCTTGTTTCAGCCACAGCATTATGATATCAAACTGGACAGGAGAATGTTCCGTATCAGGTGATACTCTCCGGGATTGCGTTCACAGCTGCCATGCTGGTTTCTACTGTGACAGCGAAACGACTCCCGTTGGTTGTGCTCACACAGCGGTTGTGCAAGACGAACGCCGTATTATTATTATAACATGACATCCGTTCCGTATATCTGCCGTGCGTGCTCCGAGCTCCGGCTGCGCCGCCTGCTCCAGCGAGCGTGCGGCCGCTCGTCCCCGCCCCGCGCGCTCGCGGAGCTAACCGTGGCCTGCGCTCCGCCCCGCGTGCGAACCTCTCCCTAGGGTCTGGACGGGCTGCCCGGTGGCAAGGGAGAACCGGGAGAGACCGGAGCCCGCGGAGAGTCGGGGGCTGCCGGCCCAGGCGGCCCCGCAGGAGGCGCCGGTCCCGCGGTAAGCGGCGGCGGCGTCACTCGTCGGCTTGTCGGGGGCCCACGCCAATTACGACTGGCGAGAGCGCGGCTGTCTCCGTGGCTGAGTGTCGTTCTGCGTGTCCCCGCAGGGTCCTGCCGGGTCAGCCGGTCCCAAGGGTGATCGCGGTCCTTCTGGTCCAGGGGTGAGAACCTACTCCTCCCTTGTCTCCGCACATAGCTCCTCCTCACCCTCTACACGGCTCCTCACCCCCCAGTCTCGACCTCCCACTCCTCTACCCTCCTCCTGCTCTGCCTTCGCAACCTCAAGTCGGTGGCTTGTCTTCATAAATGCGTATAATTTGTATGTTTTCTGTAAGTACAGTAGCGATTAGCAATGAGGTGTGTGGTTATGTATCGGCGTGCCTGTGTGTGCCTGTGCGTGTGTGTGCCTGTGTGCGTGTGTGTGCCTGTGTGCGTGTGTGTGCAGGGTGTATCTGGATTCCCCGGCGCTGCCGGTCGCGTGGGCGCTGCCGGCCCCGTTGTGAGTAGCCACCACGGCCGCGCGGTTGCCGAGCCACTCGCTCGCAGGGAGTTGCGATCCCACTCGGCGTGACGTCGCCCTCAATGGCAGAGGCGGGGCAGGGGGGGAAGTGACATTGTTGCGATGTCGGTGGACGTATGCAGTGCGTAGATTTGTGATTTATACATTGGGACATCTGAGTGCTGCACTGATGTTCCCCACCTGTTCAGGAGCACACCTGCAGACTCCTGCGGTAGCGTCCCTAACGGAATCGATGCAGGACATCACTTGTTCACAAAGTGCCGCCCTCTACCGTACATTTACTCGAAAGCTCTTTACCACGTGGCCGCTGAAACGCAGGCTTCGAACCCACACACTAATGTGGATTGAATGAACATCAACTAAGACTGCAGCAGTCTTTAGTGGAGGGTTGCTTCTTGTTGAATCGGAGAGCACCTTGCAAGTTCACGTTCCTCGATGTAACCGGTATTGGCCAAACATCTCAAAGTGGAAATATTATCCTCAAATAACTCAATTGGGATCACACGTAACAATATCGCCCCCTACTGCAGAAACTGAGACTCGGCGAGGCTGTCCTGGGTAAACAAATAACAACGAGTTGTCTTCAGGAGCCTCAGCGTCATGCAGATGACAGCAGGAGCCACGGAGAGCGCTGCGAGCAGTGCTGATGCTGCTGCCTCTGTGCAGGGAAACCCCGGGCCACCCGGCCCCTCCGGCCCCGATGGCAAGGAGGGCACCAAGGGCCCTCGCGGAGAGACTGGGCCCCCAGGAAGCACGGGAGCTCCAGGCCCTGCTGGAGTCACAGGGCCCTCGGGCGAGAAGGGGGCGCCGGGAGACGACGGGCCCGTGGTGAGTGCCGCCCACGTGCAGCCCGCTCTGCGCGGCTCTCCGTCGTCGCGGCGACGCTCGCGGCAAACTGCACCGAAACAACGCGCGACAAACTTGCATTCAAGTTCAGTGGCCACGCTGCATCGGAAGAATGCTTTCAGGGCCGCTCACGTCGTTTACGTTCATCGTTAAGCACGTGCACTTTGGTTTTTGTAGACTGTTCAGTCGGTCCTCGACGCGCGCAACGGCAAAGCGTGCGCTGTGAGGAATGAAGCCGGCAGAACCACCGCGCATCGGTTTGCCGACGCGCAGAGCGCTGGCACGCGCGTGTGATTGTGCATAATCTGTGTGCGTGTGTGTGTATGTGCGCGCACGTAGGGAGCGGAAGGTTCCCCCGGCCCCTCGGGATTGGCTGGTAGCCGTGGTGTCGTGGGTCTGCCCGGACAGCGTGGAGAGAGGGGATTCAGTGGCCCTGCTGGTCTTGTGGTGAGTGCCGGTCACCACACCTACAGCGCCGTCCGCACGCAGCAAGTCGACGCTCTAGGGAGCGGCGGATGACCCCCACGAGGCCGGGTCATTTGTATGCGCAGCTCCTTCCTCTTCTTCATCAGTCGATGTTGATCCAGCCTCGTAGAACCCCTTGTCTTTTCTCCCAGCCGTGCGTTCATATGACTTCATTGCAAATTATAAACTTGCTTTAGCCACAAGGGGAAGTTACTGAAAGGCACTCTTGTGATGATCAGGTGGTATGTGACCAATTCAAATGTGACATCATGACCCGCGGCCATGGCAACTCAGCACTTGTTTAAACTGTAGCACTTTTACCATCGGATGATTTTCCCCATGGTGTGCTCATAAACCTCATTGGCAGTTTACTGAGCTGTGGATATTTAAGAACGCCAAGAACATAGATCATACTTCCAGGCCTCTTCCACATTTAAACTCTGCACAACTGACATTTAACCATCGAATGTGATGCGGCAAAGGCTCCGAATGAGATTCTCATTGTGAATTCCGTTCTGAATTCTTTGCAAGGTCATGTCTGTGGCGTGAATACATGTTATGACTGTTATTTACCTAAGCTTTCTTCACTTTGCAGTTACCACACAACAAAATAATTTCAGACGCCCTGTATAAACTCACAGGGTTAATCCCTTTCAATGTGAATAAGTGATTATTTTACTTGTTAGGGAGTAGCACTATCGTGGTTATGACACTGTGCCTGAACCAGTTCTTGGCAATGCCCAAATTGATTCAGTGCCAAGTGGGTGGCTGGTGCGGTATGTAAACACCAGCACCGTCAGGTGAAAAGCGCTGGGGCCTGGTGCTGGCCACAGCGCCCTGCCGTGCGCCACGCCATCCTTGCCGCCGCAGTGTGCCTCACCGCAAGTCTCAGTGGGGCGCGGGGGGGGTTCTCCGGATGCCCTGGTGACATCATCCCCATTATGGTGGTGAATGGCAGTTGCGGTGCGTCGTGGGTGCTTGTGTGTGTGTGCGTGCGTGGTTAGCGCGCTGCGCTACGAAACCGGCGACCCGAGTTCGATTCTCGCTCATGGCCAACACCAGTGACAATTATCTGAACCGGACTTGGGCCTCCCCTAGGTCAACTCAGCCTCAAATGAGTACCTGGTGCCTTCGTAGGTGCGACTCGCTAACAGCACTTGCCCCAACAGTCTGTTAAGGCTATACGGGGGATGTTTGTGTTTGTGCGTGTGTGCAGGGGGAGGCTGGCAAGCAAGGTCCCGTCGGCCCGAGTGGAGAGAGGGGGTCAGCCGGTCCCGCCGGTGCCATGGGCTCCGCAGGATCCCCCGGTGACAGTGGCCGTGACGTGAGTGTTCCCAGCATACGCCGAGCGAGCCGGGGTCAAGCAGTGTCACGGGGGTCAAACGGTGTTATCGGGGTCAAACGGTGCCACCGCGGTCAAACGGTGTTGCCGAGGTCAAACGGTATCACCGGGGTCAAACGGCGTCCACAGGGTCAAACGGTGTCGTCGGGGTCAAACGGTATCACCGGGGTCAAACGGCCTCAACAGGGTCAAACGGTGTCGTCGGGGTCAAACTATGTCGCCGGGTTCACGTGTAGCGGTTGCCTCTGTTGGCACTGCTGAGCCAATGCTGAGATTTTTACGTCCCTTTGGTGAGGGACCAGTCCCAGCAAAATATCTACATTGGAACAGCTGATCAGGTGGACTTGTTTCACTGGCTTCGGAGAGATGGGAGGCTGAGTTGGCCCTGGCTGGAAATTGAACGTGTCTCCTTTCAACGGAGAGCTTTCAGCTCAACCAAATGAACGAATTAGCGTGAGGTTCACTAACACCATGCCAGCAGAGCGTGTGTATGTTTGTAGATTCCTGTAAAACGCTGGCAACTCTCACGGGGCCAGAGTAAGGTTGAAAACTATTGGTTGAATTAATTCGAATAGAGTACCCCAGGTTATAATTTGTATGTTACTATTCGAGTGCCTAATTAACACTAATTACCAGATGAATTAAATAAAATATGTATCTAGCATCTGAAAATGCAGATACTGCACAGAACACATTTATCATGACATTTATAATTTTCATGACTCTTACATAATACAGCATATGAACATCTGAAATATAACCCTTTTTAATGTAATGACAGTCAACTTACTCTTGGAGTGATCGCGATGGTGACCCGCACACGTGTGTGGCTGTGGCACTCTGACCGTGTGTTCAGGGCGCTGCTGGAGCTGATGGCCTGCCAGGACGTGATGGACCTCAAGGGCCAAAGGTGCAGCACCAGTCACCCACTCACTCACTCACCTACCCACTCACTCACCCACTCACCCATTATTGTTGGTTGTGGTGTTGTTGATGGTATTGTTAGTGCTACAGATACTGTCGCTGCTGTTGGTAGTTGCGTTGGCCTTTGTGTTGGTGGCATGGGTGGTGGAGATGAGGGTGGAGGTGTTCATGGTGGCGGTGGCGACGACGGGGGTGGTGCGGGTGGGGGCGGCGTGTCGGCCGGGACGGTGACGGTGTGTGGGTGTCGTCGTGGCGGTGTTACCGTGAGTGCAGGGAGACCGTGGTCCCCCTGGCAATGCCGGCCCCGCTGGAGCCCCGGGTGCATCTGGTCCTAGCGGCCAGGCAGGATCACCAGGCCGCACTGGAGAGAGGGGAGACGTTGTAAGGACTCGCGTGGAGCGTACACACTCGCACGCACTCTCGCACGCACACATACAGGCACTGGGACTGCCCTGTCCAGCGTTACCTCTGCCTGTAGCTCCCTCTCTCTCCTGGGTCTGCAATCCTGCGTGATGCCCTGATCATTTAATACATTCATCTGTTCCTTTATTTATAAACAGACAAGAGCCCATCGGAACTAAATTTTCTTTTCAATGCTTTTCAACTCTGGTTGAAAGCATTAGCAATGCATTAACTCCGTGCGCTCTCTGTAAGAAGGGATCACGATAACTCTCGTACCAAATGATTCAGCACAATCGGACTTTAGTATCCAGTTGTGTTGCTGTAAGGAGCTTGCCAAAAAAAGTTGGCCCAATTGATCAAAGGGTCGCCCCAATCGTTGAGACAAAGTTCAGCGCTAAATGCACGCGGGCTGATCTCCCGGCCCTGCCGGCATGGCCTCCCGGGCTTGCCGGCCTCGGCCCGTCTCCCTCCCCACCCTCCCCCGTCAGCAGCGACGGTGATCCGAGCCGTGTGCCTCATCACGGGCCTAGGCCTTGGGACGCCGTGGCTTCTAGCTCCTTGTGCGAGCACCACTACTATCGCTTATTTAATACTTCCGAGGACAACCGCGTGTTGGAAAGCGTGACTGCAGAACCTGTGCATAAGCGTTATTTTTCCTCCTTTATTTTAGGGAGAGCTGGGTCGTGAAAGTAATACAGTGCATGTGCAATAAAAGATTTAAAAAAATAACAATGTATAAGGTCAAAATATCAAACAATACAGATACAACTCTTAAACGGCATTTGATATTCAGCAAAGCACTGTGTGTGCTGTGCTGGTAGTGCGGAGTGTGTGTTGAGCGGGTCGCTGCATCTAACCTCCCGTGTGCCTGCAGGGCCCCGCAGGGCCATCCGGACCTGCCGGACCACCTGGACCCCGTGGCCCCGTGGTAGGTGGCACCTCTGCATGACAGAGCTCACTCACGCGTTGACACACGCCACACACGTGCGCAACGTCACACGTCGCACAACGCATCCACCACGTGGTCACGCGCGGTCGCGCATCCACACGAGTTGACTTTCACAAACTCAACACGCGCAGTCACGCACACACCAAGGTGGGCACTGCCATCTGCAACATGAACAACATGAACAACACGATCTCATAAATCGTGCACACAGTTGTGCGCTCGCTCTTACAGTTACATACAATACGTAACCCAAGACACAGTCGAGCAGACTATCACACCTATGATCGCACTTGCACACAACTTGATAAATCACGAATGCACGCTCTCCCGCACAACACAGGCTCTCACATGTGTCATCACGCACACGATCGTTTCGTGCCGTGCAGGGCCCCTTGGGCGGCTTGGGAGAGCGAGGGGACAACGGCGCAGCAGGAGAGAGAGGACACAAGGGCCACCGTGGATTCGCCGGTCTTCCTGGCCCACCAGGCCCACCAGTAAGCCGCACATACACAGCCACAATATATTCTGTCCAACTACCGCGAATTCATTGCAAATATATCAAATTATATATTTTGAAAACCTCAATTTTTTTCATCATCATCATCATCATATATTAGGCTTCAATAATGATGATCATTCATGTCATAATGTCCATATTCATTATCCTTTTTTCAAGATCAAGCAAGTACATTGACCAGAATTTTTCCTCAACGTATCTGTAATCGGCACCACCTATGTCATCGTTACCAGCAGCGTCCATTCCGGACCCCTCCACGCTGAATGGCTGTCCGTGTCGGCACGACCAGAGCTGCGTTCCACGCGGCCGGAACGCGCCGACCGGCTGTAGTTTTCCCCGCGTTGTTTTTCGCCGTTCCTCTTCGGTTTTCGCCGCGTGCTGCACCGCGTGCCGTGGCCACGGCGTCTCACCGGCAGGGAGTCGCTCTGCCGCCGTGCCGCGTGCCGCCACGTCCGCACGGTCACCGCCGCCGCGGGGAACGGTCTTGTGAGTGAACGCACCGCCAAAGGAACTAACCACTCGTGTCTGTGTGCAACCTCCTCCTCCCGACCAGGGCTTGAGCGGAGAGAGCGGCACGCCCGGCCCCGCGGGCCCTGCTGGAGCGAGGGTGAGTGCACGCTGAGATGCAGCAGCGAGGTCCCCCGTTTCAGAATCGTGTAAATAGGAGAATCCTCCGAATTGATGAACTCGGAGAACCAATAAAGTAAATGTGAATGTCTAAACAACAGAGTGACGTTGCCGATCAGGCACTTTTTATTTGACCAGCTAAAAGGGGCTAAGTTAGCACAGCAAGGACTCTAGATCAGAGAGGTTGATATCGTGCAAGGAGCAGCTATAGCGTAGTGGACTTGCCATTGGAGTCAAGCTCAGGGTCCTGCTCAATTATGCTACGGGGAAGCGGGGGGGGGGGGGGGGCAGCCGTCGGCACCGGCATCACGAGAGGGCAGACTCTCACCAAACCAGGGGTGGCAGCACTTCGACAATGCTCATCTCACCGCCACTGTTGTGTTGCTGGCGATGTTTGTTGAGGATGTGAGTGCCTCTGCACATGCCTCCTACAGGGTCCCGTTGGTGGCGCTGGTTCCCACGGTAAGGATGGTGCCAACGGTGCTCCTGGTCCCCTCGGTCCTGCCGGCCCCCGTGGCCGCAACGGAGAAGCTGGCGCCGCCGTGAGTGCCCCCACATCTGCATTCCATCAACTGCCAGACGGTTTATCTGCCGTCTTTATCCAGCCAAGCAATCCAAACATCAAACTAATAGGCCAACTACTTTCAAGTTCACCCACCTTTGAACCCTCCTACCAGCTCACCCATCAGCCCATGCATGAATTCATCCATCATGAACCCACCTAAGTTCCGCTCGCTTAACAACCCACCCATTTGCTCTCATTGGCCACCCACGCATTGGCCCATACACAAAACCTTCAATATTTCTTTCAATATCGAATACATCTACCAACCCATATGCTGAGTAGGTTATCCCCAACTAGCAGCTCACCCACCTCCTAAACCCACGTACCAACCTCGTCAGCAGCCAATGCATGCCAGCATACCCACTCTCACTGCTTGGCGCAGAAGTCCTCATTGATGACAGTCATGGCAGATGGCAATTTTCTACTTTTGAAATAAGTTTTTCAGCTATTCCCTAACCCAGTTCAATTGATGAATTATTAATGGGCAGACAATATTAAAAGTTGTACGTGATTGTGAGCGGCCTTCATCTGGATGGCTGCTGTCCCATAATATTGCATGCAACTGACTGTCATATGTGAAAATAACATTACTGCAGCGAGTATCATCTACAACAGAAGGTAACATTGCACACTCAGATCAAATGACAGGAGGCGGATGTGTTCAACACTGTACGGCACTGGACCGTTCGGATCGGTGTCAACCAGCCCCTGTCGTTGTTCATCAGACAAGTGACAAGCGTAACGCAGGGCCGTGCGTAACGAAGCGTGCGCCACGCATACGCCACGTGTGCCCAACGCGTGCCACGTGTGCCCAACGCGTGCCCAACGCGTGCCCAACGCGTGCCACGTGTGCCCAACGCGTGCCACGTGTGCCCAACGCGCGCCACGTGTGCCCAACGCGTGCCACGTGTGCCCAACGCGTGCCACGCGTGCCCAACGCGTGCTTGTGCCCCGGCAGGGTCCCCCCGGTCCCCCCGGCCCCCCAGGGCCCCCGTCCGGAGGCTTCGCCGCCGACGAGGCTCAGAACCAGGGCGAGCGCAATCTGGAGCTGGAGGCCTCCATCAGCTCCCTGAATGTGCGCGTGGAGAACATGGTGAGCCCCGACGGCTCGCAGAAGAACCCGGCACGCACCTGCCGCAACCTCAAGCTGTGCTACCCCGACCTGCCCAGCGGTGCGTAGCCCCCACCCCACCCCCACCCCCACCCCACCCCACCCCCCACCCCACCACGCCACCCACGCGCATCGACACGCCGCAGCGGCCAGAGGCGGCATGCACACGCGGTGTGGTGCAAGGTGGATGGATGATTCGTCTAAAAAGCAATGGCAGTAAACGTAGATGTTAGCGCCTGCAGGGGTTATTTCAAATAGTGCAAATGACCGTTTACAGCTATGTGCAGCATTAATTATAAAAAAGTTAAAACGTGACTTAGTAAAAAAATGACTAATTTAAATAATATTTTAATTTAATGGAGTAACTAAACATAGATTTCCCAATCATAAATGAACTTGAAAGTCGTGGTACTTTTGATAATTCAAAGGTTTAACTGGGCAATTGCAGTAAGCTAGTAAAATTCTCACCACCTTACCTCCAACACATGTGCCGCCTTCACTTACCACCATTCAAATATTCCACACGTGGCATTGTCGCCCCTGCTGTGGCGTAACGGTGCCCTCCTGTCCCACCAGGCCTGTACTGGATTGACCCCAACGAGGGCTCCAAGTCGGACGCCATCCAGGTTTGGTGCAACATGGAGACGGGAGAGAGCTGCATGAACGCCGACAATCCCAGCATCGCCCGCAAGAACTGGTGGCTCAAGCCTAGCGGGAGCAAGAAGCACGTCTGGTTCGGAGTGACGATGAGCCCAGATGCCCAGGTCATTGCTGCTGCTGCCACGCGTCCAGCCACAGACACACATACACGGCCCACTTGGCAATGGCGCAGAGCGCACGCGATGCTGCTGCTGCTGCTTCAGAGGTGCGGGGGGTGGCATTTGCTAATGGGAAACAGCAGAAAGGACATCAACGCGTGTTGGTAACATGGAGAATTGGCTCTTCTCGTGGTCCAGTGTGTGCCCTCGTCATTTGTACACCATGGCTGTTAGTCATTCAGCTTTCTTCGTCCATTTAGTTTGAAAAATGCAGAAGCAAGAGCTCGCTCCTTTGACTCTTTGAAGAGGCTAATTAGGGAGGTTGGCTCTTTAATTGCTCACACAATCTAGTTGCTGCCTGGGCTTGATTCCTGGCAATATGGATCTGTGGAAATTGGTATCTCAACCTGGCCTGAGTCTCACCGAGGTTATCTGATCCTACAATGAGGATTTGGTTCCAAGTGTCCATACTCGTTTCCAGGTGAATTTCTGGATTTATCACCCATCCGTGGGCTGATGCGGTCAAAGTTTGTGCGTCTTTGTCAACGAGAGGGTAACTGTTCAATCGAGCGAATGATTTCCCCCTGTTGTGCACAGTTCACGTACGGAGAAGACAGCCACAGCACAGAGATCCAGCTCACGTTCCTGCGCCTCTTCTCCACGGAGGCCTCCCAGAAGATCACGTATCACTGCAAGAACAGCGTAGCGTACCAGGACGGAGCCGTTGGGAACCTGCAGCAGGCGCTGCTGCTGCAAGGCTCCAACGAGATGGAAATCCGTGCCGAGGGCAACTCCAAGTTGGCCTACTCTGTGCTGGAAGACGGCTGCACCGTAAGTGCCTGCACCACTTGGCGTGCGTACACGCGTGCAAAGACAAAGATCCCCCGTACAGGGTTAGCAGACTGTAGGGGAAAGTGCTGTTAGCTAGCACCTATGAAGGCCGGAATGGCACAGGAGGGCGTGGGTGGCCAGCACCATGCACGGCTGCCTTCGTCTCCCTAGTGTTGACATTTACACATCGCACCAAGTACTCATTTCAAGGTGAGTCGACCTAGGGGAGGCCCAGGATCGGTTTAGATAATCGTCGCCAGGTTCGTAGCACAGCGCAGATGCACACTCACGCCGCACTCAGAAAAAGCAAAATAAAACTTGTGCGTGCTACATATTTGGCCAAATGTATTCGCTATAGTCACACGCAGCCACATTCGTAAACACACAGGTACCACTCTACGACACGGTGTCACAGACAGGCACACCCGCCCTCTCACACGCATCGCACACGACCTCACTAGACACACGTTGCCATGCGTAGCCGCACACACAACTCAACACAGCGCCACATGTCAATAACCCTACGTGTGTATACTCTACACCCTCAAACTCATTACAGCCTCGCATACTCACAGTCACACACGCTTGACAATGTGATATTAATCAAGTTACTTGTTCACGTAAATGTGTACATGGACAGCCCTTTTGTCAATCCACTGCTGGACAAAGGCCTCCCCTGCCCTTCGGTTTGCAGCCCACCGGTGGCGCTTTTCCTGCTTGTAGCAGAGGCTCACGGTTCGAATCCAGCAGCCGCCCTGATTAATACTGCCGAAGTAATGACCATAATGATACACGGCGTCTGCTTCACGGTGGATGTGACTGATCATCGGGGTCCAAATTTGCTCAATTTAAAAGTGACACCACACATTGCTCAATTGGGATTATACACAGAAATCATCGCCCACTAACGGCTCCAGGTCACCGTTGCAAGTGAGATTATTCTCGTCTCTCGAGTTCTCACCTGGTGAAACAAAGTCACCTTGAAACTTGAACGTGAATGTGTAAGGAGACTCTAAGAGTGCGTGCGCCTTTGCTCCTGTTCGCAGATGCACACCGGCCAGTGGGGCAAGACGGTGATTGAGTACAGAACACCCAAGACCAGCCGTCTGCCTATTGTGGACATCGCACCCAAGGATGTGGGTGGCCCCGATCAGGAGTTTGGTGTAGATGTTGGCCCAGTTTGCTTCCTGTAAAGGGACACAGCCCTCTGTACACATCTCCAGAACTGCTGCACTGAAATGGTGATTCCTGTCCAGAAACGGTCCATCCACCCGCTTGCATTTTGGATTTCATTGTGAACAAGGAACGTTCATCTACCCCGCAGAAGCCAGCGCAAGGTGGTTTCAACTGACGCTAGTGCTTCAAGTGCCAGAAGTTTTCATGTAATGTTTACACCCGGTCGTGCTTTGTGCCTGTTGCGTTTTTGAGTCTCGTTAAGGTTTCCCAAAGCACGTCGATGGGGAGTATAGCCGTGTGTAATATATACGGATCTTAACCTGCTCGGATTGGAGGTGCTACTTCAAAGCGTCCTCACAGATGCAGCTACCTCAGTAAACAAAGAAAACATTCAAGCTATTCAGAGGGTCCCTGTGGCACTACAAACATGAGGGTTCTAGACCAACAGTGCTGACAATTGCAGAACTCGGAGAATGCGTTTGGTGCTATTTCAGGTGCTTAGTCGGCCTGTAGTCCGACCTCCTGCATGTAAACGAAGTCGATGCCATTTTATTGACCACTTTCCCATGTTTTCCAAAATGTGGCCTGTGGATGACTGATTTATGTTTTTTACTCTCCTGTCGACCAATTATTTGTAGAGGACAATGATGGACACTTTTCAGGGCATGAACACTAAAGTATTTACCAAATTTTGATTGAGAAGAAAAATAATGTCAATTCCCAAACCATTGTTAAATTAAATTGAAATAACTATCCCTTGTAATATCATCTCTCTACGCAAGATGTTTCTCCCATTGTCTTATTTGTATTGAGTTCATGTGTTTAATTCCATTAATGTTAACCAAATCTGGGATGTCAATAAAAAAATAATAAAGAAAACTGTAAATTTGTGCGGTGTTTTATTCTGGAATGACAGTTTTTTGTTGATGCATTCATTTCAATCTCAAAGCTCCTCATCATGCCTCGCTCATCGACACATTTTATGTATCACGCTGGAGATCAGCAATTCTGAGCATCACCCATAGGTGGCAGGGCGGCGCAGCGGTCACACTGTGCGACCGAAGCAAGAAGCATTCCATCCCTGACCTGGGCGCCTCTCTGCGTGCAGCGTGGACGTTCTCCCCGTGGTCTGCGTGGGTTTCCTCCAGGCTCTCCGTTTTCTTACCGTAGCTACTACAAAAAGAATACCTGCAAATTATTCAAGTGGGGGGATACGTAGCGATATCACCCCCTTACTGTGAAAACCTGGCAGGACCAGCCTGAAAACGAATATTGAGGCGGTCGTGGGTAAACAAACGTAAACATAATAATATGCACACATTCTCAAAGATGCTAAGATAAATATACGAACAGCTTTTTGAAGTCTGAACCACCTAGTTAGCTTAAATACCTTTACATTCTTCATGAGCTTGGTGGCTGTGTTTAAGAGTACAGAGGAGGTAGACTTACACGTGACAATGACTTCTGTTTTAGCCACATTTCACTGCAGGTGAAAGCCAATTTAAGATGACAACGCATCCAGGCAGTTTGGAGCGTAGAGTCGATTTTACTAAAATCCCACTGCGTCCCATTCACGAGGAGCGGACGTCGAGGATTCGCCTCCGCTGTCAACATCACTTTGGGTAGTCGTCCCCCTCCAATGGAGCCGATCAGGTTACAGTCCCGTCCGACATAAGTACGTTCGTACATGCCAAGCCTTGTCTATGTATTTTATACAATGGTGTGGTCATAACCCGTTTCTAGTCACAAAGCACCGGTCTCCTACTCTCTGGAGCCAAATGTTATGAAGTTCCTCTAGCATCTGATGGCCCACATTTCTCCATCTCGGCAAGCACACTGCTCACTGCTGTTGCTATTCGCAGCTATTTTACGACTGCGATATTTGACATGATCTATGGCTACTCCACCATGTGCGCGTTTCCCCCTTCTGCCCCTCATCACTGACTGTTTAGGTTCCTTCCCGGCCGAACTGGTTAGACCGGCTCTGCCAACATTCATGATTTCCTTCTTTAAATCGTTTGTGCTTCTCATATCCCAAACTGGTTGCATACTTATACAGTATATTCTTGGTTCTTTCAGTAAAGTCTCTTCTACATGACTTTGCCGAAAGAACCAAGAATATGAATCCCTGCAGTCACGAGAGCTTTAAATAAAAAAAATACTCATCTTGTTATTACGTTTACTATACAGAAATAGCTCTTCATTTTGATGTATACCTCAACAATCATTCCAAACCTGATCAGTCCATGTTTTCTTGTCTTTGACTTATATATACTTAGCTCCGTCCTCTCTTACTCTTCCATAATATTCACAATAACGTTTGGGTTCGATCACATGAATGCAAATGTGCTGTAAACCCACCTCCAACGGTTGTCACGTGAACAAAACATGCAAATTAGTTACTTCAGCACCACTGGTGTGTTGGAGAGCAAACCCACAACATTTACAATTTGAGTTTAGGACATTTCATTGGTGATTACAACCAGCATCATCAGGCGATTGCCGCAATTGTGAAGACGTCTTCCTGTTTATGGTCTTCAAGGGAGTAAGGTGATGTCATCACTGCGGACTTACAAAGGCCAAGAGGGTTTCATGCAGTCATATACATTATACTTGTTATGTTAATATGCAATTATGCGACACATGTTACTGGTTGGGTTAGTCACAGTTTATCAATATAATGACATGGATAGGCATGGTGTGTAGTAAATGCAATGTGCGTGTTTGTGTAGTTTGTGTTGTGTGCGTGGCACGTGATTGTGGGAGCTACGTGCGGGTGTGTAGTGCGCGTGTTGTGTGTAGTTATGTTGGTATTGTGTGCATGGCAATGATCTTCTGTGGTGCCATTTAAAGTAAGGGTGTTGTGTGCATGGAATGTGGTGTGTGTTGGGGGCCGTCCATAAATGACGTCACCCACCTAGGGCGGGGGGGGGTCAGACATTTGTTACGAGGAGGGGCGGGGGTTTGAGAAATGTGACGTCACATCAGAATGTGCAACTTTAAATAAATAAAGACAACACGTTCTACTTAATTAAATAGACATTTGAATAATGTTTTCTCCTACAACTTCAGAGTGCAGCGCCACATAAAATACGCACTACAATGACAATAGTTTAAAGCGATTTGAAGCATGTTAAAAAAATTTTTGGGGGGGGGGCAGAGCTTTGTCATATTTGAGGGGGGGTCTGACTTTTTATGACGCCGTGTGACGAGGGGGGGGGGTCAAAACTCGTAAAAAATCGCGTGACGTCAATTATGGACGGCCTCTTGTGTGTAAGATACTACACGTTTAGTGGCGTTATATTACAGCTATGTCCGTTTCAAATGAGGTGCATTCACTATTTTGTTAACGTTAACTACAAATACTTAAAATAAATTACCAGGTAAAGCCCACTGAGCTATATAGCTCTTTTTCAGAAGCGACCTGGCCATAAATCAGAGCCCAATGAAGTGGCTCATTTTATGTAGAAATGTCTAGCAGCCAAACACTCTAAACGCGTGACGCTGATTCTAAATGTGGAAGGAACAACGGGAGGACCCGGAGAAAAACGCACGCAACCACGAGGAGAGAGACACGCACACTCCAAATATCGAGGCGTCAGGGTCGAGATCGAACCCACGCCCTCCTGTACACCAGGCGAGGTTGTTAACATCTCCTAGCCACCGTGGCATTAACGATACGCTTTCAAGAAGCACATAGCCCTATAGCGATGAAAATGCTGATAGCATTGTTTTATTCATCTCAATTTCAATAGATGTTTTAATCAACGTTATCAAAATAAATTAAATACCCTTTTTGGCAGGTTTGTTCTGCAACTTTTGACAGTTGTGTTTGTATTTCAATGGACTACAGAGCGTTTTGATACACGAGCAAATAATCGAGTGAACACCTCTCCTGGTGTTAGCTTCGGGAGTTCATCTTCAGTACCAGACATCAGCTTTTGTATATGATGTATAGTACTGTGTCAAATTTCACTCGATTGTTTTTCTGTCTCCAATCATCGAGCTCGTTTTATCAGTTATGTGGGGGCCGGCGTCCACCCCCTCCACTCCCTCCTCCACCACTCCACCCTCCACTCCCTCCTCCACCACTCCCCCCTCCACTCCCTCCTCCACCACTCCCCCCTCCACTCCCTCCTCCACTCCCTCCTCCACCACTCCCCCCTCTACTCCCTCCTCCACTCCCCCCTCCACCACTCCCCCTCCACTCCCTCCTCCACCACTCCCCCCTCCACTCCCTCCACCCTCCACTCCCCCCTCCACTCCCTCCTCCACTTCCTCCTCCACCACTCCCCCCTCCACTCCCTCCTCCACCACTCCCCCCTCCACTCCCTCCTCCACCACTCCCCCCACCACTCCCCCCTCCACTCCCTCCTCCACTCCCGCGTCCATCGGCCCCCGCCAGGCCCCCGCCGACCGGGTGATCGGCCCCTCCGCGTGAGCGCCCCCTCTGAGGGACACCACTAAAGTGCTGGTTCGCCGCCGCACGGGGTTACTCCGTGCAGGCACACACACCACACACACAGACCACACCACACCACACACACCACACACACCACACCACACCACACACCACACACACCACACACACACCACACCACACACACCACACACACCACACCACACACACCACACACACACCACACACACACCACACACACCGCACACACACCGCACACCACACACACCACACACACCACACACCACACCACACACACACCACACACACCACACACACACACACCACACCACACACACACCACACACACACCGCACACACACCACACACACACACCACACCACACACACCACACCACACACACACCACACACACCACACACACACCACACCACACACACCACACCACACACACCACACACACAACGCACACAAACACCACACCACACATACCACACCACACACACACCACACCACACACACACCACACACACACCACACACACACACCACACACACCACACACACACCCACACCACACACACCTGTTCCTGGGGGTCGGAGATTGGATCACCATCACCGTTTTTCCCCTAATAATGGTAATATGTGTGGCGCTGCAGGTTACTTTTTTGATGGAGTTTAAATAGAGATTTGTGATCGCGGGCCACTGAGGCAGACTCCATCTCCTCAGCAACCCGCGACCACCACCCATCCTTGCAGCGCCTCACGGCTCTCCGAACCTCCGAGCGAAAGCTGCGGTAAGCCTCCTCATTCTCTGAGTAGTCGATGACAGTGGGCCTGTCGCTTTTTCTCAACTATCCTGAACACCTCCTCTGTCATTCAGGGTCTCTGGGGAGGTCTGGACCGCGTACCCAAAGCAGCCATTGCAGCTGCATGAGTCACAGTCCTAAACCTCGCCCATTTACCCTCAACATCAGGAGGAGTGGGGGACGATGCCAACTCCAGCCGCAAGCGATGATGAAATTCTCGCTTGCAACTTTCATCAGATAACTGAGACCAGGCCACTTTAGGTTGGAATGGGGTCCTGGGTGTACACCCACCACCAGCGTGGAAGAATGGCAGGCGCATCTTACAGATGACTAGTCGATGGTCAGAGGGCAGATCAGCTCCACGGTAGGTCCTGGTGTCAAGGACATGGGCTCGCATCCGCTGGTCCGTCACTATGTAGTTCAGCAGATGTTCTTGCTTGGACCCGGCATGCATCCATGATGTTGTGTGGATGCGCTGATACCGGAACAGCGTGTTGGTTATTACAAGCCCATGGGCTGCACACAAATCTAGCAGCCTCCTACCGTTGTTATTGAGCTGATCTGGCCCATGCCCTCCAATCACTCCAGACCAGGTGCCAGCATCATGACCAACTCGGGCATTAAAGTCACCCAACAAGATGACTCTATCCCG